AAAATGCAGACTGGACTGCTTCCGCTAGATGTTTGCAAGCACTCTGCCGACTCCTTGCTGACAGTGAGCTTGCAAGGGCCGCCGTGTGTCCAGAATCCACTGCTTCGCAAATTGCTTGCAAGACCGCTGTAGCATTGAGATGCCTTCTTTTTCAAGCCGAGTGCAATACTTGGCGTGGAGCGAAGACAATTTGTCTTATTCCCCCTGCAGCGGCCGCTCGTGTTATACTCAAAGAAGACTTTTCTCCTGCTGTGATGCGTTGTTCATCAGCGGCCCGCTGCGCGACAGACACCTTCCCTTGGAAGTCTGCAAGCCGCCTGCCGTTTTCGCTCTAACCATCAGATGACGTACCTGCCCCTTGTGACAAGTACAAGTGCAGCTCGATTTGTCTTCACGTCTGTTCTTCAACACGTGCCTTGCATTTTCATTCTAAGTTCTTGCAGATGGCTTCTTTCCTTTTGCAGCCAGGTTGTCTCACCATGTCCTCGCTCGCATACCAATGCCGTGCGTAGCAGGCTGCCTTGCGGCCGCGGCCAGGTTTGAATCTTGCCGTGAAGCCACGGACGCCCGTGGCTTCGCCAGCCGCGGCCGCATGCCCTCTGCTAGCGAGGGAAAACAAGAACCCACAAGCACACACTTTTGCACCCATTCCAAAAGCACGTTAAGGACTCTTAACGGTGCTATTCAACGCGTGCTTGCAGATCATGTCTGTTGAGCACGAACCTACTGAGCTTTCCACCAGGCTGCCCTTTGTATCATTTTTGTTCTCTGCGCGAAGGTTTTTTCGACGGTTAGCAGCAAACACATGTCGGCTGCTTTCTCATTTTCCGCCTCTGCACAAACTCTGTTGCAAGTCATTGTCTTTGACGGAGGTGCTGGGTCTCCAAATGCGCAGTGTTCACAGACTTCATGCCAATCAATCACTGGTGGTGTGCAGCTTGCAACCTTGGCCCGGCATGTGCCTACTCCATCTTTTTTCTGCTCAGCCTCGGACAAGACCTTCTAGGTTCCCCAGTGCACCCCTTTCACTCTTTTTGGGAGCCCCCCCCCCCAGAAAACCCTGGGGTATGTTTGCTTGACTTCAAAAATCGGGGTGCCATCGCAGCAACCAGCTCTGATGCCCTTTTCGTGTAGCTCCGACAACTCGAGATTCCACATCACGCTGGCGCAGCGTGCATGAGCGCGACATCTGTTGTTCTCAGGGTAGGTTCGGAGCTTCCGCAAGCGATTTTGTCAAAGAGATCAGGCAGACAAGGGGTCAAACTTGCTCCACGGCGAGAGTCTTTTGCCACAATTTGGCCAACTTTCGAAACCGCTATTGCCCAAGTGCATTTCAGTGCAGTCAATAAGAAAAACATTGTTGCAAGACGCCGCTGCCCCAAGACGGCCTTGCGCACTGTCTCGAGATGCTGCCGTGGCAAGCTTGCCTGGCGATGCTTCAAGAGGCGCTTCTGTTTCGTGACGCTGATTAGCAGCACTTTCAGAGCCGAGCCCCTGCCGCGACCGCTTCAGGGAAATACATTCCAGATATCTATGCGAGATTGGAAAGCTACGCGCAGAAGCCCCACTCCGTGCAGTCCGCAACATGGAACTGCAAGCATGCTTAGCAAAGCGTCCTTGCCACACGCTTACCAATGTTGATCCAATTGCGCTGTCATTTGTCAGCTGCACAGAGTTTGGACACTTCAAGCGTAAGATAACTCAGACATGCAGTGACACGCCGGTGTCCTTTGCTTAAACTTTCGAGCCTCCGGCTCAGTCCGCCAACATTGACCTCTCCCTTGTCTTTGCCTTCCCCCCTTTGTGCCCTCCCTCCCTCCTCTCCCTTCCTCCTCTCCATGTCTTTTCTTTTTCTCTCCTCTCCCTCCCTCCGAGTCAAAAAAGAAAGAACACGCGCACGCACACCCCAAAGCTCGCGGCCTGAAGCGAGGACTTGGCTTGATGGCGCCTCCGAACAGACAACAGGCCTTGCGCGTGAAGCCCTCGACGAGCCTTGTCTTCTGTTCGGACAGCATTTGTCCTAGGTACTTGCCCTGCTAACCTGGGAGCTGCTTCCTTGCCTGTTTTCGCAGATTCGAAAGATGAGGCTAAAAAAGCTGCACATGTAAAAGACGGCATGGACGCTTCTTTTTGGTTCCACTTTCGCCACTTCCCGGCCACACGCCTAACTGGGTTGCTCATGGCCGCCTACTTGGTGCGCCGGTTCGCTGTGCCTGCCAGCGGCCTAGTGCAGACAATCCTCCGCTTGCCCAGCCCAATTTTGCGGCTGACTTCTGGACGTGAGCTCACCTTCCGAGCGGCCCTCGTTGGAACTCATGCCCATAGCGTCGGCAAGCGCAAGAGCTCCCTGGCTGCAATGCTGCGTTCGTCCTTGCGCAGTCTCGCGCGCAGATGCGTTCCCCACCGGCAAAGGCCAACGCCTGCCAGGTGATGATCGTCTGACAAACGCGCTCCACGACTTGCTCCAGCAGCATTCTTTCCGGATGCTTCCATCTTACGAGCAGCTTGCAATCCTCTGTACCGCTGTGTTTTTGCGCACGTACCTGTCACTTAGCTGCATGTTGCTCTGCCTGCCCTGTGACAAAGTGCTTTCCTGAGATGGGCCGCCTACGTTCTCCGTCGCGCTAAAGCTGGGCGACTCCTTGGCGTCATGGACGCCATCATGAGCTACTGGAACCTCTCGCGTCTAGCCATGTAACAGCTTGCGTACGTGTCTTCATTTGTGCACGGTGCTGGCGCGTGCGACTGGCTTCTTTGCCCCGCATAGGAAGGGTCGCGCTGCTGGACGCAAATCTTATTTGCCACTTCCTACTGCGCGACTGCGCGGCTTGCGGGGCGCACGCCCCAAGAAGAAGGTCCAGCTCCGACCAAATCGGGGCCTGCAGAAATTGACGCTTGCCGGCGTACTCCAGTTTGCGAGTCAGTTTTTTTTGAAGCCGCTTGGGGACTACATCTATGGAACGCTCAAGTCCTGCATTCTCGACAGTTCCCTTTCGAGGGGGTTGGTGATGCTGGGGGCGTCCTGAATGCCGGCCGCCAAAGTGAAAGTGCCCGAGGTTGGTGATGCTGGGGGGTGCCAAGAATGCCGGCCACTCGAGTGAAACTGCCCAGCACCGGCACGTTAAGAACTCTTAACGGTGCTATTCAAGTTCAGCATAGCCTGTGGTGCTGCTGGGACGCAAAGGGCGATTTCCCGCGCTGAAGGGCACTTGCACGGGGAACAAGCTGGCTTTCGTGCGCTTCCTTCTCAGGTGTGAATCCATATGCCATTATATAACTAAATGGAAGGTTCACTTCGGATACATCCGTGGGACCCGAGCCCAAAGACTCCGTACAGTAGATATAGTGGATCATTTTCTCACTGCACATGAGGAACCCCAGGTTTGTCAGAACCAATCCGAAGTTCACTCACTTTTCTACTAATGATGGAAGGGGACAGGCCTTTGCCAGATTGCAGTGTTCTAAGACCCTTAATCCTGCAGACTACCAGCCCCGAGAGTGGTCCAAGGGGGGTAGGACGGCAAAAAACAAACAGCCATGTCACAACATGCAACAAGTTCGCTTCAAACAGCGGTTCAATCAGTCTTACTTTGTGGCTTCCGACTGCAACGTGACATGGATGCCTTTGGCTTGCTTTTACTCCATAAGCGCGCGCGTCTAGATCGCTGAGCGTGACGACACTGGATACTCATGGCGCCTGCGCAGGTTTGTTTGTATGAAGCGCTAAGCAAGGGATCAAGAAGTAACGGGATCCTGCCATTGGAAGCGCTGAAACTCACCGGCCGGACCTGAACATGTTTTCTGGCCGCGCGAGATGTTGAACAAGTGGCCTTGCGTTACAACAAATACATCCAAAAACAAGTTTAACAAATGTTAGTTAACAACCAACAAAGATCGAACACTGTCAGAAACATGTTTGGAAATCGTCATGGTTGGATAGTCGCAGACCTGGTTCCATGCCAAAGCTGGCATTTTTAGGGTAGTCATTTGTCTGACCAGCTGTCAGTGACCAAGGTCTACTTTCTCCACTGGAAGGGTCTAAAATGCTTCGGAGGGTGAACGCTGAACTCTCATGATTTGTGCAGGGAATAGCTTGTCTTAGTGGGGTTTTAGCTAAAGTTGGAGGCCCCACACATGGCATGCTCATTTGTAAGTCTTTTGAACACGAAGCCAGAAGCGGGTTTCATCTTCGTCAGTCTCGCATTGCGAAACGCGGCAGTGACGCAACTGTGTGTGGCCCGAAGCGCCCTGACATGAAGCATTCTGGACAGTCTTCTGCTACGAAACATTGCTTGGGTCTTCTCTACACCAAGGGACTTGTCATGACCTCCCAAGTTTCCCACAGCCATCGGATGGAAACATTGTCCAGGGATTAGTTCTTGCGCAGGCGCAACCAGCCCCATCTCCCGGACTTGTGAAGATTCGAAGCCGACAGCCGATGTCGCGAGCTGGCGAGGCCGAGGCTTGATTTTCCCTCTGACCACCGAAGAGGTGAAATGGGAAGGACGGCTCCTGACTGCAGCGGAGCGTCCAGTGAGAAGTGAGGGGTATTTAGTATAGAGCCCATATTCATTTTACCAAGCACCTCGCGCCCCAAGCATAGGTCAGCCTTTTCAAGGGGTTCTCAGAGGTGTTGACGTTCCGTTTGCAAGGCTGATTGAGGTCGGCCCAAGACCAGCGGGAGCACCGAGGGCCGCCGATACAAAGGTTGTGAGACCCATGTCGGCAGGATGGGTCAGAGCAACCATTTACATGGTGGCGATGCTGTACATCTTCTTGGGTGTCAACATCGCATGGCCGCCACGTTTACTTCTGCCAAGGGGCTCGCTTTTTTCTCATGGAATCTGCCAATGACACGTGGGATGTATCAAGATTGGCTACCCAAAGAGCAATTTCAAGCGGGATCCATGGTGTTGAAGCATAAGATTCGCTTTGCCTTCCACACAGGGGCGTCAAGCTCGTGGTTGTGTGGGAGTCAAAGCAGCATTTGTGTTTGTTCCATGGATCGGTTGTTGAAGAATAGATCATCACAATCAATGCGCCCTATGATGACTATGTCCATATCATGGCCTTTCGTGCAAGGCGGAACAGCAGGACGCCGTTTGTGTTCACTAAGCAAGGATCGCCAAGACACCGTACTTTTTCGTGGATGTCGAGTGTCTCTGGCCCTGGCCCTCCATTTTCTCCCGGAGCTTGGAGAGCCATCGTCGCTGCAACTTTTCCAAGGCGGCGGACAAGTTCGTAGAGGCCATCGAGGGCATCACGAGCACCAAGAGGAGAGTGCTGCAGAGGCGCAGTTTGGGGAGCCATTGGGGCGATGGTTGGTGGCTCAGTTGCAGACCAGATGGCTGTGACTCTGACTGATAGCTGGGCTATGGATGCCCAAGTTGGAGCCAAACCAAATGTGTGCATGCCATTGGGCAAGTCGTGATCAGTACTCTCAACCTACGGCAGCAAGTGTCCATACTTTGAAGCCAGCCGATCCCTTCAAATCAGTGGCGACAATACCAGCTAACCAGCGAAGCTTGCCACAAAAGGTCGGCACTCACCAAGCTGACCATCTTATGCCCGCCAGGTCCACCGGTCGGGTGATCACCGTGAGCGCGGCTTGGTTTCAAATGTGCAGGCTTGCAGTGTGTGAGGGTTGCCCAAAGCGGGGATGCATACAATGTGAGACTAAATTACATCCTGGTTCGAGTCTTCCTGGCATGGAAACTTGGGTATACGAATCATACCTAGTGTTATAGACTGGCAACCCAGGCAATGGCAAACTGTTTAGATACTTTTGAGGCCGCGCCCCGCCCCTCCTGGAAATATATGTGTTCTTGTTTTGAACCTCCAATGTTGAGTCAGTTCCCTTCGGTGGGGTGGACATACTTACCACACCATTGTGCAGCAGGGTATACACCCTGGACAAAATGGATAGAGCGTGGCCACAAACAGGCTACAAGTCTGATTACAATATCAAGAAGGTTGTTATAACATGGTTTTCCATTGGTTGTATACTTCTACAGTCGTACTTTTGTCTTCTTCTTATTCTTAAACCAACACAACCACCGGTACAGATGTGGCGTCTTCTTCTTCTTCTTCTTCTTAAAGCAAAGATTTACATCAACGCAACCAACATGCGAATATCAGATCTGTTTAAACCAACCGCCCCAGGTGTGGAACGGCACCGTGGCCAACCTCACGCTCTTGGCGCTGGGCTCCTCCGCGCCGGGGTGCCCGACCATCCGGGAATGCGGATGGTTCTCTTGAGGGTTTTGGGGTGGGTTTTTGGTTGGTTCTGGTGGGAAGTGTTTTATCGGGTTTCGTGGGTTGGTGCTTTTGGGGTTAGTGGTTTGGAGCTTTTCAGGTGGTTTTTAGTGGGTCTACTTCAGCTTCCCACTAGTTGGTTTGGACTGAGAATGTGGGGTTTGAACCCCAAATTGCTTTTCAAACCAAATGGGGGTAGCCCCCAACTTCCAACCAGCCCAATTGGGGGGAAGCTGATGGGGGTGTCCATTTCACCCAGCGCAAGTTAATCCTTTAGCAGCCCAGGTTTCAGGTCCACTTTCGTTTTTGAGAGGGGGGGCTTTGCTTGGAGTTGTCTTCGGAGTGTGTAGAGTTCTTTGCTGTTCTTAAGTTTTTGAGGAGTTTGTTTGGAGTGTTTCGAGTTTGTCAGTGAGTTCGGGGAGTTGTTTGAGAGTTTGTTTAGAGTTTGTTGGGAGAGTTTGTTGGAGTTCTGTTGAGCTATTAGAGTTTGTGGATGGTTTGATTGAAGTTCTTCCATGAGTTCTTGGAGGGTGTGTTTGAGAATATTTCTTTATTTGCGGTTCGCGAGTTTGGGAGCTTCGGAGTTTTGGGAGTTTTGCAGTCTTTGGAGTTTTGAGAGTTCTTTAACGTTTGGGAGTTTTGGAAGTTTTGGAAGTTTTAGAAGTTTGTGTTTTTTCTTGAGCTTTGGGAGTGTTGAGAGTTTTTGGAATGTTTGAAGTGTTTGGAGTTGTGCGAGTAGCTTTGTGAGTTTGGGTGTTTCTGCGGTTTGTTTCTTTTTGTTTATGTGCGCCCGCTCAGCACTGCACGCACACGCCAGCCAAATGATAAGGACACCAGCAAAAGTGCAACCTCTCAGCACTGTTGGAACCGCAGCAAGAAAGTGGGGAAACCGTCGTTCAAGAAGTCCCCACGTTCTTGCGGCAGCTTTTCTGGTGGGATTCACTGGCTTCAACCAAGTCCGGAAAGCACTTGAGGCATAGGAAGTAATGATATTAAGATCAAATTGTTACCATCAAAATTGGGCTATTGAGCTTTGCATGAAAGCATGATGTTATTCTCTCGTTACGCTCTTCGCTCAGTTGATTGTCGAACTTTAAACCAATTGTGAGCGTCATATGACGGACATATTATTCATTCGGTCATTCCCAAAACGCCGAGCAAACACATTGTCCGAGGGTCACATGTTTATTACTCAGCCATCGCAGCCCCATTTCATTACCCCAAAACCCCCAAGAGCCAACAGTCCTCTCCAAAGAAGATCGCCTTGCCGACCGTTGCCTTTGTGCCCTGCGCAAGGGCACAAGACAAAGCGGGGGAGAGCCGCATCGTTGGCCGGCGCTTGAAGATTTTCAGTTTGTTAAGAGTTTGTGCAGCTTGGGAGTTGGGGGGGTTTTCGGAGTTTGCTTTTTTGGAATTTTCGGAGGTTTGTGAGTGTTGGAGATTTTGTGAGTTTTTGCCATTGTGCGGTATGTGAAGTGTTTGGAGTTTGCGTGGATTTGGGAGGGTTTGGCGTGCTTGGGGTTGTTTGCGTGTTTTAGCGCTTTTTTGGAAGCCCGTGGTATTTGGAGCACCGCAAGCCAGCAAATCCATTTGGGGCCCAGTGAGAAGGATGCGTACGGGTGTGTGTTTCTTCGGGGCAAGGTACCCCTTTTGATTAGCTTGGTTAAACGGGAAAGCAAAAAGAAGGCCACCATTGAAATGGTCCAAGCCCAATTTCGACACACCTTTTTGTTTGAAGGGGGGCAACGCCCATCTTTGAGGGTGCCCTTTCTAATGGGTGGGTGTGTGAAGAAGGCCGCCATTCTGATGTTTGCAAAAATCGGAGTTTTGACGACAGGACTCACCTCCTCCCTTGAACTACTTGGGCAGAATTGTGTGTGTTTGTTGGTTTGTTGGTTTGTTGGTTTGTGGGACGGGTGCTTGCAGTTGGGTGTGGCTTAAATGTTTCGGACCCAGAGGACTCAGAGCTTTGGGCAGGTCGGTGTTGTCAATTGCTTTGTCCACGGGAACATCTCCATTTGGGGTGGGCATGTATTTGCGGAACAGACCGACAGGAGATTGTGTTCCTTTTTGTGTATCCTTCAGTGTTTCGCCACAGCCAGTTGGGTAGCCTGTCCGGTGAAAGTAGATGGTGCAATTCCTTTCCGTCAGAAAAATAATTATGGGGAAGGTTTTGCCATCCATTTCACCCAACTGAACCATAGTGTTCCCTGCACTTCTTCGCTTGCTAGGCCTGAGCATCACCTTTTGGAGCATACAGCGGGATACTTTTGTGACAAACATAGAAGACACATAAAGGAGGGACGCGCGATTTCTTTCCCACGGCAGTTTTTTGTATTTGCTTGTATGCCTTTCACTTGCCTCTTTGGTGAGTCACCGTCGGGGCGTGCCAGAAAGTTTTCCTTGACGAACTGGGCATTGGCATTTTCCGAGTTGCTTTGATGGGACGCCTCCGCAGATGGAAGGAATGAAAACCTTGAGAAAGGCGGGAGGGTCTTTCTGGTGCTTGAAGCGATGTTGGACATGTTGTGCATGTTCCTTGCAGCCCCTCGACCTTGGCAGAAACAAGGCTGGGGTGCCGTCACAGCTAGAATCGAAACTTGGGTAGACTCCTTGAGTACCTGCCTCTGGTTTGACTCACATTGACTGTCTGGTAGCCAGCCTTCATTTTGAAGTGCCTGTGGCAAGTGTGGAGCACTGCATTCAAGGCCAGAGATTCTGCTCTCTGTAGTGGAGATCATAGGGCGCCCCCGGCCAAACTTGGGGTGTGGAGTCGGAAGTCTTGGCCATCCTTCAGTCTTGCAACTGCTCTGTTCGCAGTTCAATAGCACCAGTTTCCCCATCCTGTCGCAGTTTCCTTGCTTCAAGCAAGCTTGAGCCCCCTTTCTCCAGCGGCGATTCGGCTTTGTTAGTTGCGCGGACTGTCCATGAGTCAACATCAGTGAGCCATGTCAACGCCCCTTTGAGCAACGTCTCAAGGTAACATTGAGTACCACAATGGTGTCAAATGTCCTCTCACGCATGTCAAGTTTGTGTGGGCTTCTCCGCGCGCCAACGCCAATTTGGTATGATTTGGTCTTGAACAGACGCAACTTCGAGGATCATTTGCAAGTACATTTTATGTTTGACAGGTTGGGCTTCCTTTCATCCACCAATAGAATGGAACGGGGTTCCTGTAATTATAGTGTTTCAGGGATTCTCGTGGGATTCCTCACCTGGCTGTTGGTCAGCGCTTTCGTCTTTTTGCGTTTTCGGATTTCCTTTGGCCGAGCATTGTGCAATTCCCGGGGGGCAGGGGCCCTGAAGAACCCCCGAAGTTGGATCGTGCCAATTCGGAGCGGGGTTCTAAATATGGGGCCAACATGAGAACCACAGGGTTCTTCCCTCCGTGTTTCTGGTCTCGTTTGAAGCCTTTGGCGAGCCAGGAACGGCTGCTTTGCTGGAGAGCTGGGGCCAGCCACCATCGTAGGCCCGGGGTTTTGCCGGAGTGAAACCTTGGCCAAGCTTTGCAATCGGAGGGCATGCTCAAGGCCATGAGCAGAAGATAAGCCTTTTGTTTCGTATGGCCAAGACCCAGTTTGCCGATTTCTGGATCCACCATCTTGGAGGGGGAGGTGTAGCAGCATCGACATGCATCGATCATTAGTCAGACGTAATTCTGGACGCCGATCTCAATCAAGCACAGCAGGATATTTGACCCTGGCATTCGATGGTTACTTAAAGTGACCTCCCGGGCCCTTGCACGTTGCATGTTTTTGTTTTTGTTTTAATGTTGGAGTCCTTCTCCACAGTTTCTTAAAGGCGGGCCCAGCAAAGCCTTCTGACACCCGGTCTATCCATTGGCGCTTTGAAGGCTCCGCTGCCTTCAACTTGTTCGTCATCATAGCCGGGAGCCCTGCTTTGGTTTTCGGGGTGGGGACATGCCTTTGCACCCCGCTGTGACAGCAGGCATTTGGCGTTTCTGTGATACTGGATGATTTTGTTTAACAACTAGGGGTTTAAGCTTGAGGCACCGGTATCACTGAGTCAATGTTCTTCAGATGCCTTTCCATGCACGATCCGTTTCAGCAAGCCTTCAGTCAGAATCTCGGAATCCCTTGCGACGACACCAGGGCAAAGTGGTTGGAAGTTGGAAATGACCTTTCGTGACCCACTAGCTAGCCCTCATCTCCAGCATTGTCCCCATAGGAGGTGCTCGACTTAAAATTCCGGTTCAACATTCCGCAGGTCCCCGGAGCAACTGGCCTTTCAGAACAGAGCTTCTGGAGAGGCCAACAGCCAAGCACAGATTTCCCATTCGGAGGCTCTTGCCGAAAGACAGCTTATCCTCAAGGGAACACCTTGGAAAAAAAACACAGCGCGGATTCTCTTGCCAAGGCAACCTAGTCCAAAGGAGAACGGAGGGCAAGCAGGGTGCGACGGGGTCTTTGACTCTGGAGGAATGCCAAGTAGGCGAGACAGATTGATCCTCAAGCTCTTCAGGTTGGAACCTTTTTGTCGCTATGCATTGTTTAAAAATAAAGTCTTCTGTTTGCAGCCTATTTGGAACGTTCAAGGGCTGGGTTTTTGATCAACGTGTTATCCGTGGAATTGGAAGCCTTCAAAGCCCTCGCGGCCGCCAGGGAGTTTGCGTCATGGCTGTGCCTGCGAGTGAGATGCGCCAGATCAAGGATCTAGGCCTGGGACGGGTGCATTTGCTCCACTGCTGCTCCCTGATTCCTGCGCCCGGAAGTTCCCAACAACGATTTTGATGGATGCCGTGAAAAGAAGCACTTCTTAGTGAATGAAATGAAGGCTTGAGTAGATACAACGGTTTTGGTGGGCTGTGTTCTCAACATGATCATGCTTGACAACGTGGGCGCACAAACCAGTTCAAAAACTGCACTTGTTTGCGACATGCCGAGGTTTGACAAAAATACTTGTTTGGATTTGCTGAATCCACGGTGCTCCATTGACAGCCACCAGTCTCAATTTCATTGAGTATTTTGCAGCTGCATGAAGATTACAGAAACAAGTACTGTAAAGTATTGAAGCTGCATTGTTTGCGGCTGATACGTTATTCTCAGTAAACTCCGGCACGACTGGCTGGATCCAGACGATTGATTATCCAGCTTGAGGGGCCCTAGCAGGGCTGTCACACATAGGCGCGTCTTGGTGTGAGTTCACCTGTCTTGGGTGGCTGGAAAGGGAAGCCAGTGAGAAACAAGTACCTGTTCTGGTGTTTCCCAGGTGTTGCCCATATTCAGAGACATCCGTCACATGTTCTCCTCCGCACAATCATCAATGGGGCTTCCCAAGAAAAAACACCCCATTTGTGTTGTTCGGAACGCCATTTGGATTGGAGAGACAAACCAAATGGTGTTGAACAAAATTCTACGACGTTTAGCCCAGACAATCCCGTTTGGAACAAATTCCAAGACCTTTGCTGACCCCAACCGCTTTTGCCAGTTGGCTCAGCACCCAATCACCACCGATCTTCCGCCATGGCGGTGGCCTTCCGACTCCGCAGCCGCCCGGCGCTGGGGGAGTGGTCTGTGGACCAGGTCTGCGACTTCCTGGCGCCGTGGCTCTTTCAGGGCTTTGGGCGGGTTGGTTTGGGCGTTGACAACGGCGGGTTGGTTTGAACGTTGACACCTCAAGGATCAACACACATATATACCCTCTTGCTGTTATCCCTTTGCGGGGTGTCGACCAAGTTTTGCGTTTGCTTGATGCGGTTTGGGTGAGTGTGCACTACCATTCCGATCACTGAGTATTGCTTTCTTTGGTTCGGGTGGCAACAGCTGAAGCGTTGGAGAGAGAAGTTGAAGCGCTTGGAGGTTGGGGTTGTGTGGCTTTTGTTTGGAGGTTGGTGTTTGTTGTTTGGTGGGTTGGTGGAAAAGGGCAGAGGGGGAATCCGTGTAGCAGGTTAGGGTTGTGTGAGTCTTGAGGCGGATAGGAGCTTGATCGTGGATGATTTTATTCGGCAGACATGTCAGCATTGAATCAGTGCTTTCCCTACTTGGCCTACGAAATGATTCCGGATGCCATTTTGAGAGGGGAGGAGTTTGCTTTAGCCCTTCGGGCGGACACATCGATCAAAGCAAAATGCAATTGCTTTAGGCGAGCTCCACCCTCTCCCCAACGACTGCACCAGAGTGAAAGTCGATTTCGCAATTCCCTTTATGTCGGTAAGTAAGGGGGTAATTAGGGGAGGGGGAATTGAGCCTTTCCTGCTTTCATCCAACCGTAGCGGTCAAGTTCCGACCCCGGATGACTCTCATGAGACACAAGGAGACGCTGGGGCTGGATGAGGAATTGCAGCAGCGATTCCGCAAGGAGTCCATTTCTGGTCGTGTGCTCAGCGAGATCACAGACGAGGACTTGTCAGGCGCAAGCCGAAATTGCGATAGAGCGTGTTGAGCAGCGCTACATACAATGTACGTAGTTGCATCATAGTATGATGCTTGCTTTGTTTCTTCGGCGTTTTCGAGTATGATGCATCCATGATATTTGCGAGCCTGCCCGAGGTTAAAACAAGCTCACCACAATGTAGGTCCTTTACTTGGGCATCCCTTTTTTTCTGCTTTCGAATTTCTTCTTAAAAAGTGCAGATGTATCCGTGAGTTCACGGACGTGCTTTGGTGGGCTGCAGGGCCGCCCTTCCACCTGCCGTTCGGGGTCCGGAAGCTGCTGAGCGCGGAGTTGGCGCAGGCCAAGGGCCAGGCCAAGGCAAGGCAGCGCCCCGGAGCCAATCCCAAGGATGCGACATGAGCCACGCCTGAAAGACCGATGGTCCTCCACCTGGTGGTATTTAAGGGTCCTTATCGACCATTGTTCATGACTACTATGAAAGCAACCATGACCATAGGCCGTATAAGGAGCCTTGCCCATGGCTCACATAAACCCTGAGTGTCCACAGGCGGGGTAGGTCGATTCTGGGTCGCAGATTGGGGGCAAGGGGCCGGGGCGAGGGGCCGGAAGGATGGAGTTGGGATGTGTCTTGAATTGGTGGACCACGTGCATTGAGGTTCTGAACCATCCTATCAATATGTTTATGCTTTGCATTGCAGGTGCTTATACTTTGCATTGCAGGTGTCACGAATATGCTTAATATTGACGGCGCCTGCTCAAATGCTTAATGAACCATAGATCAAATACATGGGTTGTGAGACTTTGTGGGGCTTCTTGTTTCTGATCTTCGGAGCATCTCCTTGGCTTGATCACCAGCACATCACCCATCATTATTAGAGACCCAGATCAGGAGGCCTCAACGGTTCATGTGGTCACTGGGGACAAACGGCACTGGTTTCAGTTTGTTTCTATTCATTGAACGTGGTCGACAGTTTTTGGAAACTTATCCAAGGCTATTTGGCGATGGTCACAAGTCAACCATCCATAGGGAATCCGCACAACCATTCCCAAACACTCCATGTATGCACTCCAAAGCCCACATTGGTACCCTCCAAATGTTGGTCAAATTCTCAGGTCCCATATATTCTCTGGGTGAGGATTGGGATTCCCATGGCCGTGGACCACGGTGACGGGAGTTTTGGTCGACCAAGGAGCCAGCGGGAGGTCAGGGCCTTGGTGCTGCAGAAGGGCGTGCCGGCCGAAGGCCGGGTCTTTAGTCACCAACTTTTGGGGCTTTGGCAAGCGGCTTGAGCGTGGAGTGCGTGGACTGTTCTTGGTGAGGGAAATTGTAGACATTTTGCTCACTGACTTTCCATACGCTTTGGGCAGAGAAACACGTGGGACCGTCTGGGACCGGTGCCCGAAGCGCGGCCGCGGGCCGAGGGTTCGCCAGGCCCCGCGCTCAGCAGCGACGCCTTGGACCGGATCCGCCACTGGCGCCTGGAGCCCTCCTCTGGGCGCCTGGTGCGGCGGGAGCCGCCGCTCAGCGAGGAGGAGCCACCGTCCGCTGTTGGCTGAGCCACGTCCTCAAAACCGATTCGGGTAGATGAAAGTAAGGGACAATCCAAGAAATAAGATGAGGGACTGAGGGGCAATTCATAGCCATAAAGTCACGAACGGGTGCGGAAGTCCGCCTTGGTACATCTTTGCATGGTTCTGGGGAGACCATTTTAGTACCGGGTGTTGAGTGTGACTCATCTCGCCTTGGGGTGAACGGAGCCATGAAGGTCCCCTAGGATTCCAGATGTCGGATACGTGAGCTACTCAAGTAATTCATTTGCCATGGCAAGACCTCGGGCTCGGTGGCCCAGTGCGGCCTTCAATTTTTGGACCATACAAGAAATGACAACGGCAGAACACGTTCTAACCCGGATGTTTGCAAGGGAAAGATCTTGGAACTTGGAAGCGTTGCTTTCCGTTGGTTTCTGGTGAAATCTGCTTGGAGGGACCTGGCCCCAACTGTTCTGCCCCATTTGCCTTTTTGTTTTTTCCTTATCCCTTTCAACTTTGCAGGGGGATAAACTCAGAAGTATCCCTTGGACACTTTTGGACTAAGGGCCCCCCTTGCCATATCTACCAAGTCCAAAAGTGTCCAACCCAAACCCAGCACACTTACAATGTCAACAATGGCACAAATTCCCATGGCTTAGTCATGGCCTTTACTTCCCCAAAGGAGCTTCCGCCATCTACTTTCGCCCTCTGCGCTTGCTCGGCGGGTCTCAGGAAAATAAGGGAATGAAGGCATGGGCTCCGCTTCTTGTGGGAAAGCCATGTTTCTGGAGCCCATTTGCTTCATGGTCATCTTCATCCTTCTGGAACAAGGAAAGCCTGGGGCTCCGTTTCTTGAAACCAAAGCCTCGGAATCCCGAACGTCGGAAGGAGCTGGACTGCTGGCAGTACCAGGCCGCCTGGTTGGTGTGCCCCATCACTGGCAAGGCCTGGGCCCGGAGCGACGTGGTCTCCACCATGGGGGTGGCCCTCTACCACGCGCCCCGCAGCTAAGCCGCCAGCAGAGTCAGGCGTCAGGCAGGCGTCAGGCAGAGTGAGGTCTGTTGGAAGCCCAAAAGTTGTTTTGTCGTTTTGGGATGTGAGATCTCGTAGAAACCGAGTGTTTAGATGGAGTTGTGTGAATCTCGGGGGCCTGAGAATGATGGAGGGTTTCCTTCTGGTTTCCCCTGAGCAACCCACCCACGCACGCACGCACGCACGCACCCACACACCCACCCACCCACCCACCCACCCACCCACCCACCCACCCACGCACGCACGCACGCACGCACGCACCCACACCCACACCCACACCCACACCCACACCCACACCCACACCCACACACACACACACACACACACACACACACACACACACACACACACACACACACACACACACACACACACACACACACACACACACACACACACACACACACACACACACACACACACACACACACACACACACACACACACACACACACACACACACACACACACACACACACACACACACACACACACACACACACACACACACACACACACACACCCACCCACACCCACACCACACCCACACCCCACACCCACACCCACGCGAGGGTTGAAACTCATTCCTGCCTTTGCCTTTGCCTATGCGTATTATCATATTGTATTGATATGTTAGTATGACCCATCATCTTATTATGTATTATATATTATCTTTGTTATGTTATTATCTGTTATATATTATATTATTATATATTATATATTATATAATATCTGTTAATATATTATATATATTATGTATTTGTCTTGTTATCTTATTTATCTGTATTATTAATCATGTTATATATTATCATTATTTCTGTTATATATTATGTTATTTGAAAATTGGAATTTATATTTTATAGGAAAATATATTATTAATGTATTATTGTACTCTTATTATTTATATAATATATCTGTTATATATGTGTTATATATTGTTATATATATTGTATATGTATGTGTGTATGCATATTGTCTGTAAAGCAGTGATCTTCTTCATTAATGGTATATAATGATATGTAATATCGCTATATTTGTGCCAGTACATTCTGTGATATGTAATCAGCCTCAATGTGCCAGTGTTGTATCAATGTTGACTCGGCCATGTGGTAACCTCGACACCAGCGCCAGTGCTTCTCGGCGCCCATTGTCTCGGCCAGCCGCCAAAGCGCTTGGTAGCCTTGACCTTCCAGTGGCTCGGTAGCCTGCGCGGCGCCAGGCGGCGCCGGCCTGCGGCGCCGCGCCAGGCGCCAAGCCTTAGCGCCGCGGCGCCCAGCGCCCGCGGCCCCGCGCCGCGCGCCGCGGCATGCGGCCTTGCGGCGCCCAGCGCCGCGGCGCCCAGCGCCCAAGCGCCGCGGCGCCACGAACCAGCGCCGCCGGCGCCGCGGCGCCACGCGCCACCGGCCTGCAGCGCCACGGCGCTGCGCCGCGCGCCTGCGGCACCGCAGCCGCCAGCGCGGCGAACTGCGCCCGGCGCGCCTCCGTGCGTATGTGCGGCGCCATGTAGCCGCCCATGCGCGCCCATGCGCCCTGCGGCACACACACCCACCTGGCCCACCTTTGTATATATTATTCTGCTCTGTTATATATGTATGTATATACATGCATACATGCAGCCACATGCATCCATCATGTGTCATGTGTGAGGATCCATGACGCTATATAATACTCTGTTATCTGTTATCTGTGTGTTATCATAATATCTGCATAGTGCCTCCTGTGTCTGTGTCTGGCCTTTCCGCCCTCCTCCCTTTCCCTTTCCCTTTCCCTTTCCCCCTTTCCAACACCAACGCCACTTTCCATACTTATTTTCTGACTACTTCATCTGTACATATCTGTATCTTATTATCTTCTTTATATAACATGTCCTTCTGTATATAACATATATTGCTCTGTTATATAGCCTTCTCTGTGTACACCTATAGCCTTTCTGCCTTTCTGCCCCACTGCCAATAACCTATAGCCTTTCTGCTTGTGCTGCTTCTGACCTTCTGACCGTTTGTATGAGGCCTTCCTGACCTTCCTGCCTTTTGCACAACACCTGCCGCTGTGGCCTTTTCTGGCCTCCCTGCAGGCCTTCCTATGGCCTTCTAACCTGCCTTTCTGACGCCTGACGCCCCTATGTTGCCCCTGCCCTTTCTCGCCTGCATACCTGCAACACCTGCCTTCTGCCTTTCTACACCAACACCTGCATACCTGCGCGCTGCACCTGCCTTTTATCACCAGCACTCATCCAGCCTCCATGACATCACGCTCATCGCATCGGCATCATCCATCGCGGCATCAGCATCAGCATCAGCGCCGCGGCGACTTTCGCCTGCCGCGCCACCGCCACCACCACGGCACCACAGACACACATACGCACGTACGCACATACGCACATACGCGCATACGCACATACGCACATACACACATACACACATACACACATACACACATACACACATACACACATACACACATACACACATACACACATACACACATACACACATACACACATACACACTCAAACACACTCAAACACACACAAACACACACAAACACACACAAGCACACACAAACACACACAAACACACATACACACAAACGCACAAACACACATACACACATACACACATACACACATACACACTTACACACATACACACATACACGCATACACACATACACACATACACACATACACACATACACATACACACACACCACACACACACACACACCAAGACGAGGCATCTTAGACACCCTTTGAACATTTAGTTAGAAGTGCTGTAGTAATTACATTTGTGAGTGGATCCTGCCTCACCTGGTTGACATCTATGTCAATGATGTCCTCCACAGGGTCCCCCATCACAAAGCATCCCCAGCCGGTGTGCATTGGTACTGCTTTGACTCAGAGGTTGCCCAGGCCAGTTGGCTTTGCGTCGAGGCAAGAGGCTTTGTCCAATGGTTCGTCCAACAAAAGAGAGCAGCCACCCCAATAGCAACCGAACAGAAAACTCTCCTCAAATTGTTTTTCCTTGATTCTGACAACCCGCAATTCGCAGTCGCCCCCGCTTGATGCTTTGGCTGCTTCCATTGGTACAATAGTCGCGCCAACTTCCCGTCAAAGTAGGCAGACTAAACGTGACGGACTGCGTGTACCTGACAGTACTTATGCTTTAAGGAGTCCAATCTTGGGACCCATTCAAACCCTGCTTTGCTTTGGTATCGCGGCTTTCCGGTCCCTGAGTATTCCTTGTGCTTTATTGCTGCTATATTGATCCAATCAGCAGAGCGATGGGTTGCTTTCCCGGCTTCTCGAAGGCTTCTGCTCGGACAAGGAGAAGCAGCGTCTATTTGTGGAGGAGCAGCGGCTCCAGAGTGGGAACAAAGCTTGGCCATGCGTTGCCAAAAGCTTGGCCATGGATTCACCACGGATTGCCCCAACCTCGGAGGCACCCGCACAATAATGTTAGATAGCGATTAATAAAACGGGAGTGAATACAGAAAAAACATCTCAAAATTATTCACTCTCCTGAAAAGCAAAAAGGGTAGGTATTACAGAAAAAAATCTGCCCGATATCCCGAAAATATGTCCCCTTCCAAGAATGGACTATTTTTGAGGGTTGAAACGTTTGTCCAGCCAGAAATGTCCAGAATTTCTGGATTGCGTCCTGTCCCAAACCACCAAATTCCTTATCAATCCCTTTACTAGAAGATGCACCCTGACGAATTTTCAAGGGGGTGGCACACGGAACCCCCAGGAAGGCAATAATGCAGTTTGTTTAAGGGTAGGGAATTGTGAAGAAAAAATGGCCAGGGCAGCCTGCCAAGAAGAAAGCCCTGCTGTTCTCAGATAGAGCCAGCCATGTCCAGAATCTCTGGATTGCTTCCTGTCCCAAACCACCAAATTCCTTATCAATCCTTTTACTAGAAGATGCACCCTGACGAATTTTCAAGGGGGTGGCACACAGAGCCCCCAGGAAGGCAATAATGCAGATTGTTTGAGGGTAGGGAATTGTGAAGAAAAAAAAATGGCCAGGGCAGCCTGCCAAGAAGAAAGCCCTGCTGTTCTCAGACAAAGCCAGACATGTCCAGAATCTCTGGATTGCTTCCTGTCCCAAACCACCAAATTCCTTATCAATCCCTTTACTAGAAGATGCACCCTGACGAGTTTTCAAGGTGGCACACAGATCCCCCAGGAAGGCAATAATGCAGTTTGTTTAAGGGTAGGGAATTGTGAAAAAAAATGGCCAGGGCAGCCTGCCAAGAAGAAGAACCAATACTAAACCAATTCTAAACTGTAGTGAGTCAACTGAAAAGAATACTGAACTAATACTAAACCAATTCTAAACCGTAGTGAGCCAGCTCAAAGGAATACTAAACCCATTCTAAACAATACTTACTGGAAAACTACTCAGGCAGGTCCCAGTCTGACCCCCATTTTGTTTTTGGGGGTTCTCGCTATAGACCCCCCCAATTCGTTTGAGGGGGGGGCCCTTTATTAATCACTCCCCAACATTATGCTGCATGATGCGAACACCAGGCTTAATATTAGTCAGTGATGGGCACACGCTTGTGAATCGGAATTGTTCATGTGTTGCATTGTTGTGGAAATCAACCATGATAGAGGCTATGATTTCCGTGTTTCTCCTATGGGCTCACTGCTCTGTCCTCAAACGGTTGTGGATTCTTACCACCCAGAGTTCGTCGCAAGTGCAAACGAGCCGTTTGGGGTATTAAGGCCAGACCATGTTGTATTTGGGGCCTCATTGTCGGCCTTGTGCTTGGAATGATGCAAGCTATTGAATTGGCATCATCGCCCGTTATTGTCAGCTCAGATGTCCTGAGGAATATCATTGTGGACCAGAAGTTTCTTGCAAAACCAGTTGGCCACATCAAGCTTTTTTCATGCAGCAGCTTGTCCAGCCATCATATTTTCACAAACCTCTCCTTGCACCCTAAAATAGGATATTTCCCGATCATCATGGAGTAGTTGCCACGGCCCTTGGAACCGCTCCTGAGTTCTCTCAAGGAGAAGCAGGCACGAAAGTACGACGCGGAGCGGAAGGCGTCGATGGACCATAGCGGCACCAGCTTCGAGCGGAACTACGAGGCCCTGGGCGCGACTTCTGTGCTGTTTAGTCAGCAGCTGGCATGCTTGGGGGGGGGGGTTGGTTTGGTTTTGGTTTTGGTGCTGTTGGTGTTGGTGTTGGTGTTGGCTGGTTCGGGCCATGGTTTATTTAGTGCGGTTGTGTTGCGAACATGCTCCATGGGAGGCCTCATAAATGTTCAAGTCGAGCCTTGTGCGAGGGGGTGAAGATTGGAGTTGTAGAGTGTGCAACTGTTGCTTGGAGTCCTTGTTTTTGATGGAATCGTCCATAATAGCTGAAATGCATATTGAAGGCCACTGGAGATACCAGGTGTGGCCATCAATACACAAGTGCCTTGCTTATTGCTTCAGGCTCATTGGTAGGCACAGGAAGCAGAGCACTTTTGTATATTTTTCTTATCCAGTTCGGTATGTTTTTCGAGGGGTTGGTTTGGGGCAGCAAAGTGCACCTGAGATTCTTTGCTGCCAAACACCTGAAATGCTGTAGCCGACCTGTCTCTCATGGCTCACTTTCTGGTACAAGGGGTTTCCAAAGACTTGGGAACACATTGTTCTCCCCAAATATTGCTTTGAATGCGCGACTGAGTGGGGTTGGACCTGTCCGGAGGTCTACCCCGTGGTGGAGCCGCCGCCCTTGTGCAACCTGCCGCTTCAGACGGGGAGCTCCACCGCCGATGCTGCGCAGCTCCAGAAACTGCGGGCGGAGGTGTCAGGCGCGAAGACAGCGCTAATTGAACGGGAAATTGCACCGGAACCCAATGCATAATGGACACTCCTTGACAGGCCCCGTCTGACTAAAATGTGGCCGGATGGGGCGATATGGTGAAGTGTGCGCTTGTGGCGAGTAAATGCTTCAGCATTTGGACTGGGCTTGCCCATGTCTCTGCATTCTCGGAACTTGTTTTAGCTGAACCCGCTTACATTGAGACGTGTCCGCTGATATTTCTGGCTGAGGTCTGGAATGCTGGACGAGTTTGGTTGGTGCTTGTGTGGTTGTGGATCATGAAATTCAGGGGTACCCAATGCTTCCTGCTACACAGGCGCGGGCTCATGGCACATGACAAATTCACACTCCTAAGGCCGCTATGGCCGCTTTGACCAGCTGCACCAACTACGTGCATAAAGCCATGAGTTCTAAGCAACAGCAACCTCCACTGGGGTGAAACCTCCTCATTGGGATCCTTTTCTGACTTTCTGCCCGCTTTGGTTTGGCCATGGGGACCCTCCAGGTCTGAAGAGCCGATCCACAGCGGTGCAGCGGCAAATGTTCGAAGGCCTAGGTGCAGGGCAGGACCAGGAGGACCGATGGGCCGCTGGCGCGGGGTGACGGGGTGACGGGGTGACGCAACGGGGCGTAGGTTGGAAGGTGAGGAAAGCCGGGGATCCAGATTGAAAAAGGTGGTCTCAGGGCGCACGGCGGAACACTTACCTGGCGAAGGTTATTCCGTGCTCAAATGTTGGCAAAGGCTGCGAAAAGGGGGTTGGAGTGACAGTTTGCAGAGCGAAACCGGCAGCCATGCAAAGCTTTGCCCATGCCATTCCGTGCCACTGGGAACACCCATTTCTTGGAGGCCCCCGAGCCACATTATACGTACCGGCGGCGAGAGCAAGAAGACTTCACAATGTTCAGGTGAAAGTGCACAGCATGGGAGAAAGGTCGCTGAGACAGTGTGATTGTTTTGCAATGGTTGATTTTGGTGTTTGAATATTCTATCAAGACAAGTATCCTTTCATTGTCCAAGTTCAAATCATGGAGTGTGTCAAGAGCCTTCTCCCTCCATTGTCCAAGATCCCATCATGGAGTGTTCACCAATGTTAAGCATCCCCAGAGCTTTCGACTACGTTGTGGGCGCAACAAGAGGGACCATTTCTTGTCCCTGAGGACGTGGGCCGCGCTCTTGAGCAGCTGAAAAAGGAGCCCACGGACGACGTCGAGCTAGCGCAGAAGTTTGGAGTCTACGCGCTCTCGGCTGAACGGGCGAGGTCGGGAAGAGTTCGGAAGACCTGCCAAGTACCAAGTCGAAGTAGGGAAGGTTCCCAATTTTGATACATATTACATGATAATATGCATGAACATTGAGTATCGCCCCTGCCTGCCTTCCTCGCAGACATTCGTTTCTTGGTTGGAATCGGCTGGTGCAGCCAGCCTTGGCAACGAAGCCTTCCGGAGGTACAGCTTGACAAGCTTCTTGAAGCGCAGGGCCTCAGTTCAGTGCAGCCTGTTAACAATGTATCGATTGTGGGAAGCATGAGAAGTTTTACTGAATAGGCGAGGTGTCTAGTGAAGTGACAAGGTGAGAGGAATTATGTTTGTTCTTGGTGTAAAGCTAAGCGTACGCTCGACATGCTTCTGCTTTCACCGTTGGCAATCGCAAATTCGGCTTGCCGCATTTGCTTGTTTGGCCGGTTGTTTAGGAGCTTGCAATCACAACTGGTTTCCTTCATGTCATGCGCAAGAAAAGACAAACAGGAGCATGCAGTTGATTTTCATGGGCACAAAGAGGGAGTTCTTAACTGGACTCAAGAAAGCTGTTCCTTTAACCACTTTATGCCTATTGGAACCTGTAGAGGCTGCCGCCCAAACTGAAGGCTTTCACTTGAGACAAGAGGACCCAAAAGCCTGCACCCGATTTACTCCACTCCGCAGATTTTTAGAACATGGAAGTTCTAAAATGGGTGGTGCACCTCCCCCAAAATGGGGTCCCATTGGTGTTGACCCACGGTATCAGGAGTCCTACTTCTCCGGTGTGGTGGAGCTCCGCACGGACCTCTTCGGCCTTTGGGAGCGTGGCCGCGCGGTGCTGTCTGCGGCGGATGCGCGCACCATGCATGCGGCGCTGGGGCGCGTGGACAGCTTTGCCGCTTGGCACGGCCGTCCTTCGAAGGAGGGGGTAGCCCAACTCGGACACTGGCCCCTTGTCGGGTCGTGCCCTCTGATTAAATATGGGGCCGCAGAAAGTCCCAACCTCCGGGTGAAGAATGGTGAGGACGAAGGCGGGACGGTTGAGATAAAGAGCCGTTAAAGACAAGGGTCCCAGGCTTCGGAAGGGATATTGTAAAGTGACTTGGTTAATTTGCGGTCGTCGTCCGAGGAGTTTGTGGCAAGACGGCAGAAGGATGCAGAAGCTGTGTCACCCACAGACTGTTTTTCCAGGATGTCAAGACACTAGAGATGTTTCAAGATCTTGGCTGAGGACAACCTGTCGATCCCCGAGAGGAGCCGCTTCTGGTTTGTGTACCACATGATGAGCACCTTGTCGCAAAAAATCGCTGTTTTCTCCCCCTTTTTTGCAATGAAACGCTTGCTCAACTGGGACTGCACAGGCACGGCTTCAAGCAACCACCAGAAGATGCAGAAGATATTCGAGGACCTGGAGGAGCGCGGAGCATCAAGTCATGGCTGAACGGAAGCTGCGCGCAAATGCTGGAGCATTCCGAAGGGACAACTCAACGCAGTTGTTCACCACACATCAAGTCACCTGCTGCTTCAAGCTTGAAACGAGAGTTTGTTCTGCCTGGAGGGGTTGTTGGCGGCCGGGGACCCCTAATCGAGTGGGGCGGCATGAAATCCAGGTGCAAGCATGTCTCAACCTATTGCTTATGAAGGAAGCCAAGCAACGGTGCTCTTACAACGGACTAGGATAGGAGTGATGCTGGGGATTAGTAGTATGGCTGGATTAAAGCAGAAAGGAAGGCAAGCACTTGTTTGCCAAGGTGTTCTTGAACCGTGTCACCCTGCCCCACTTGCAGTGGATGGGGCAACGCCATCAAGTCCAAGTTTCTCAGGTCAAGTTTGATGACCCTGTTGCCTGTCAGGGGAAGCATCCGTTAGGTCGCCTAAGGGCCGGGTCAATGATTGGAAATATGTTTGCCACAAATATACATGGGTTGGTAGTAGGATATAGTTAATTCCTGCCATCATCTCAAGTGATCCTTCAATCCGATCATGAAGATACTCCTAGATTCAGGATTGGATGTACAGTACAGAACCCTGCCAAGGTGGAGATGTTTCTTGCTCCTGTTTCTCTGTGGAGGCAGTTTCCTCAACTTTTTTTCTCTTATTGCTTTACCGCTCCGGTTTATTAAGTATGATATGGTCGAACGTCCCCTCAACATACTCATGGATAGGATCACACCTTACCAACTGCCAAAGTATGACTACCCTATGGGATATTCATATTGAAGTAGACGTGTAAGGATGAATCCGAACAAGATGTGTAAGGATTAAAGTATGGCTAGCCTAAGGTATGACGGTATGACTACCCATTAAAGTATGACTACCCATGGATAGGATCAAACCTCCCACATCTCTTCAGTGGCAAAGCCATGGTGCCAGGAGCTCTTTGAGGTGGCGCAGGACCAGGAGGCAGCCACGGACTGCCTGGAGCTCACGGACGATCCCGAGCTGGGCACCATGGAGGCGCCCACGACATGAACCACCAAAGGAGCCCCCGAGACCGAGGCCACGCCTCGTTGATTTTTTTGCGAAGTTTTGGTTTGCCATATCCGATGAAGGCAGTTTGAGGGAGTTGAAGGGCAGATGTTGAGGGGTTCTCAAGATTGCTAAAAAGTGGGAGTGGGGGGTCCCTTTTAACCACCACTTAGAGGATAATGTTGAGGATGTTGCCTTAATGTATCCAGTTCCGCAGGTTTGGTCCGGGGTGTTGTATTTGTTCCATGTGTTGTATGTTCTCCGTACGTTGGGCTTGTTGTTGCGTGTGTGTTGTAGGGTCCCTTGCAAGATAAGCCGGCTACAAATCGTGTGTTCTGGTTTGGGGAGGCTGGGGCTTCCATTTGGACAAGGCCTAGGTTTTATGTTTGTCCATGGGAAGCCACTAGGTGATCATCGGCCCGGCCTTCGACATGGACGCCTCTCGCCAAGAACCAGTGCGTCCAGTGTCCCAAACAGGGAAATGCAGCAACACACACTGCAAGCTTCTTTAGACCAAGGATTGTGCCGAAGTGCAGTGCATTTCAGTGAGCCACGTTGGCGGGTTGGGCAGAGAGAGAGAGAGGGAGCCAGAGCGAGAGAGAAAGAGAGAAAGAGCCAAGGAACTTGATGACGGACATGGTTTGCCTCACTTTGTACATGTGTGAAGGAAGCATGCCGACCGTGCAAACTGGACATACAGAAGCTATAAACAGGAGACATGATTGTTTTTTTGTTTGTTTGTTTGTTTGTTTGCTTGTTTGTTTGTTTGTTTGTTTGCTTTCTGTTTTTGTCTTTTTGGGGGTGAGGGGGGGGGGAAGGATTGTGGCGCTTTTCCGACAGCTTGGCTCTCAGGCATACAATGACGGGGTGAAGGGCAACAAGGCCAAGGGGGTGCTTTCTGCAGAGGAGCGGGGCGTTTTGGACATGGATCGGCAGTATAACGCCGTGAACTTCCAGTACTTTGCGCAGCAGGCTGGGGTGTCACTACCTGTTGTTGTTCCTGAGGTAAGAGCGAGAGCGAGAGAGAAAGAACGCACTTTTCTGTCTAATGACAGTTTGTTGGGTTTGGAATGCCATTTCAGTCCTTGCAGTCTTCTCAGTCTGGCGGAGCCTATTTTGGGAGAGCATACAGCATGGTCAACTCAACGAGGAGGAGGAGGAAGATGAGGAGGAAGAGCACATAAGGATCCTCTGAGGGAACCTAGGCACGCTAATCAACAGGTTCCCCTCCAGGAATGCACTGAGCATACCGATATTTCAGACTTGGATTTGAGAAACTTGTCTTCAACGGCAAGCGGATTCAGCCAGGCTCCCCTCAGGGTGTAGAGGTGACATTCAAGAGGAGCTTGATCTGATCTAGGGACGACTGTAGCTGAAAACGGGTGGTCCCTGCATATTATAGCAACGCTTCAGTTGCTTTTCTTATTCAATTCTGAGGTAGCGCCTGATCTCCCACAATGGAGCACCAAGATCCCTTTGCCCCTTGCCTGCCCTTCTGCTAAAATGCAACCTTGCGGTTTCGCCATTGCCTCGCTTTCCATTCGAATCCGCCAACCGGACGTTTCTGTACAAGTGACTATCCGGTTCAAATGAGGAATACCTTCAAGAATGGTGGGTGGACATGCAACGTTTTACATAAACACTGTCCTCCAAACACTCCCCACTCAAACTCAGTGTTTTTCCAGCAAACCACTGGAACCAAACCAAGCCAACGGAGCAAACCACCGGACCCCAAGCCAATTGTCAGGCGGACGCTGGGGCCACCAAGGAGGGCGCAGAGGCCTCCTTTAAGCGCCGGCTCTGCACCAGCAGGCGCTCGCCCGGGACTCCGGGACTCCGGGCTCGACTCCGCGCTGAGCCTATTTTGATGGGAGGGTAAGGGTCAATTCGTCCCCAAATGCCACAAGTTTGTCTGCGGAAGTGCGCCTTTGTGGGATTTGTTCAAACATGGTTCTGGGTGGACCATTTGAAGAACAGGTTTTGAGTATGACTCAAATGAGCCAGAATCCAAAACATGTTCGATGAAGGGTGGAAAGGGATGGTGTCAAACAAACGTCGCCATTTGAACTCCTTCCATGGTTCTGTGGTTTTTTTAATAGTGCTCCCTGAGGTTGTGAATAGGGGGTCCCAATAAATCCCGGAAGACACCTTGGATCTACTCCGATGCAGAAGGTAAGTATGTATGGAAGAGGTAGATGACCAAGTGTATTGTAAGCAGTGTTTGGTTCCAATAGGAACAAGTGTAAACCGTACCCCAGTTAGCAAAGCGGGCTTTTCTCTCTATGTGATAGAGATGCAAGGCTACCAGGCCTTGAGGCATGGATGGTACAGGAGATTGCTGGATGAGTGGATGCTGTGACACAAGCACAGAACAAACAAGATACAAAACAGACACACATTTCTTTCCGCTCATGGCATCTCAGATCCAAAGAAAATTTTGCCATTGAGCGAGTTAATCACTCGGCCCCTGGGCCTGAAATATACGGAGTTGTGCAGTAGTAGAATTACTGCACCGTAGCCCTTGAATTGGGTTCCGAAACGCTCGAGTGCGGACAGGCGCAACTTTTCACGGGCTCAAGTGAGAATCTTCTGATATGTGCACGGCATGGTAAATGACAAGGAAAAGACAATGACTGTGCCAAGAATCATGGTGAGAAATTCCGGCGAGCCGGAGCGAACAGATATGGAAACATCGTATGGGTTTGTCCTTTTTTGGTGTGTTGAGTTGCTTCAAAAGGCAGAAGGTGGGACCTCCCCGATTCATACCCCCGAATCATACCCCGAATCATACCCCCGAATCATACCCCTTAAAACGTATGCTGCAAGATGCTACTGTTCTTCTACCGTTTTGTGTTGTTCACTGCCTCCACAACAACCACCACCAGCGCTACCCAATACTACCACTACCACTACCACTACTACGACAACTACTACTACAACTCCCACTACTACTACTACTACTACTACTACTACTACTACTACTACTACTACTACTACTACTACTAGTACTACTACTACTACTACTACTACTCCAATTGCTACTACTACTGCTACTACCACTACTACTACTACTACTGCTACTACCGCGGCTACGAGTATTACTACCACTACCACCGCTACTACCGCTGCTACTACTACTCTACTGCTGCTTCTTCTGCTTCTGCTACCCTTACTACAACCTACTACTACTAGGACTACCACTACGACTACCACGTCGACTGCGACTACTACCTTTAGTACTACTATTGCTACTACTACTGCTACTACTACGACTACAACCTTTACTACTACTACTACTACTACTAGTACTACTGCTTCTGCTACTACTACTACTACTTGTACTACTACTATTCCTGCTGCTGCCGCTGCTACTACTCACTACTACTACATACATCATTCTGAGTCTGTAATCAGTGCCGTTTTGCACCTAGCCGAAGCATACCCGGGAATCATACCCGAATCATACCCGGACAACGAGCTTCCCTGCTACTACTACTACTACTACTACCACTACTGCTACTGCTACTGCTACTACTACTACTACTACCACAGCTACTACTACATTCATCATTCTGAGTTTGTAACCAGTGCCGTTTTGCACCTGGCTGGCGAATCATACCCGCGAATCATACCCGAATCATACCCGCGCAATGAACTTGCCTTGCCAAGGCCAGCGCCAAGTGTTTTCAAGTCTTCCGCGCCACTACAGTCGCTGCTTCTACTTTTACTACTACTACTACTACTACTACTACTACTACTACTACTACTAGTACTACTACTACTACTACGATTACTCGATTACTGCTACTACTATTTACTGCTACTACTGCCACTAGTACTACTACTACTACTACTACTACTACTACTACTACTACTACTACTACTACTACTATTGTTACTACTACAATACTACTATTACTACTACTACTGCTACTTCCTGCTATTACTACTACTACTACTACTACTACTGCTACTACCAACTACTACTACCACTACGAACTACTACTTCTACTACTTCTACTACTTCTACTACTACTACTACTACTACTACTACCATTGTTACTACCATTGTTACTACTACAATATTACTACTAGTACTACTACTTCGACGACTGCTGCTACGACTACTACTACTACTGCTGGTGCTGCTGCTGCTGCTTCCGCGAATCATACCCGGAATCTTACCCACATTGTAATGAAAGTCACGCAAGGTATAGATATTGAACGGGATGCTACGCGCGTTGGGTTGTCAGTTGCCTTTGTCAGCCATCTGCCCTGGCACCTTCTAGCTCGGCTTTCTGAAAGGAGCTAGTTGGGACGGTGCCCAAGGAAGTTTTAGTACAAGATGTAGAATAACAACCGTTTTGTCCACGTTTTGTGGCTTTCAGATGGCTGGAAGAGGAGAGTGACCCCTACTAACAACGAACAGACACCAGCAGGCAGTGGTTAACTAGCGGGCTGAACCACATTTGACTCATTCCTCACCAAGCAAGAGCCAGAAAAGCTGCAAGGAAGACAAGCAAACAAGGACTGCTAACTCAACAAAAGGTCTGAGGGGAGAAAGGAAACTCCTCAAAACTGGGTTTCTTCAAACGCGCCAGACACCGCCGAGTTCCGTTCTCACAAGATGAACAGAGAAGCGCCCGAGCAAGATTTACTCCGCTTTTGCAAAGCAAGGGGCTGGCAAACGCGGGTCACCTCTTGGTGATGGCTTCGATCCGAATAGGCAACGGCCCCCGCCTTGCGCATCGTGCTGGGATTAGTTAAAAAAAAAGCTTCAAAATTTTCACGGGACCATGTGGGTGTTTCTTCTTTGATGGCACCGGCTTGGCGATGCTCAAGGGAAAACCAAGGGGAAAGCAGCCAATTCAGTCAGGTTCCTCCGTGGTCGTGGTGAGGCAATCGCGCAGAGGACCCTGTGCCAAGACCTAACGACTGCCTGCCTATGATGGAGGAAGTGCCCGCCTTTCCACATTGCTAGTTCTGGGGTTGGGGTTCGGGGTTTGCCCTTTTCGCTTAACAGGGTTGGTGGAACTAGGACACGGCGCTAAGTTGTCAGGCCATGGCATTCCTTTCACTGTTCCGACGATAGACATCTCGAGCGTCCAGGCGCTGAAAGTCGACCAAGGATAGATCACTAGGGGCTGTCCCCTTGAGGTGATCCAAAACGCTGTTGAGAGAGTTGCGACGGGTTCTGCCAAAACCGAGGTTGACAAAGCAAGACCCAGACAGACTGGGAAAAGGTTGCTGGGCGTATTCCCCGCCGCATGGTGAGCGGGCCCAGCGCAACACACAGTGCCGCGGGAGCCGAGATGCAAGAGAACTCCTCAAGGGGTAGTTGCCTTTGGTTTCTGTTTAACACACAGGTGCCCTGCAAACGACACACCTCTCTTGTCTACCTTTCCTTTTTTGTCGGTTGCGCTGATCCCTCGCCTTATTGGTCCAAAGGTCATTCTGAGCGCATCTTTATACTTTTATCAGGATTTCCGTGGCAAAGGACGAACGTGTCAACCTCAGGGTGACGGATAGAAATTGAGATGGTGCGACACGAGTTACAATGGAATGGGGGCAGCACAGAGGAAAACCCACCATTTTGGGGCTTTTTTTGGTTTTGGGGGAAAGAACATCATGTTTCGTGCAACCTCAAAAACATACAGGCTGCTGGATAGTGTGCATGGTCAGCCTTTTCCGGGGGTCCCTTTGGTGGCGACACACCCATGTGATTCGTTTTTAAGCACGCAGATTGGAGCTTTGGCAAGCCTTGCAATCTAGCAATCCAGGGCTGCAACTCATTTTTTCGGCGTCCCCTCTTTTCCCAACCTCTTCCAAGTTTTGGGAAAATCGACACGTTTTGTATGTTTCCTTGCACCATCCTCATCTTCTACCCAGAATCCTGCTTCTCCTTCATAATCTCCTTGCTCAAGGATCTGCCTCCGCCACTTGGACGGATATTTGCATCCTGAGACACAGGTTCTGGAAACGGTGGGAAGGCCACAACAGTGGTCTCATTTATCTACTGAGGAAGCTGTATAATTCTAAGAATGCTTATCGTTGGCCTTCTGACAGCTCACTCTGCGTGATGAAGAACAATGTTAACATGTTGTCCGACAGTGGAAAAGCCTGTGCATGCTCTTGTTTCTTACCTCGCACAAACCTTTCAAAGTTTTCTGGTTGTGCTGCGTCGAAGTAAGTTGGATCGGGCACTATAGGTGCTGCGGCTCCTTGCGGCAGACCCTGCATCATCCCTGCGAATTCAGCAACTCTAAGATTGTGCTGATCACGCATGCTCTGACTTGCGTCATTGATTGCCTGAATTTACACAGGACTGGACTCTGTGAATCCGGGCGCTGTATCTTCCCAAGATGCTCGCAGTCTTCGCAGGAGAACCTCGATTCTGCAGATAAAGGTCAAGTTCAGAAATACCTTGGCGATGATTGAAGAGACTGAGGAAGCTATAAAGGAAGACATTCTGCGTGCCCTTCAAGAAGTAGCCGCGAAGGAAAGGAAATTGAGAAAATTCTCACGCCGTTGTCCGGTTCTATGAGTTTCTCATTACCCAAAAATTTGCGGGCTATTGCTGCGTCCTCGACGAGGCGTTTCTTGAGAAGCGGGCCTTGTTTCGCGGGCTCCATAACCGTGAATGTCATCCGATCCCGTACCAGATCTTCATACCGAAACCAGCTAACACGGCCGTCATACGATGGCAATTCAGCATTCATCGAAAGATCGATGGTCTCTTCCTGGGAACTCACGCCCTTATGACGGCTTCCTAAGAAAGCCGGCGCAGTTGGTTCTCCCAGAATAATCCTCTCGACTCGACATCCTGCGTTCGGACAACCTGCTCCGCGACCACAATTGAGGTTGTGCCGACGCAGAAGGAAAAAAGTAGATGGCCAAATTTAATGTCCTGGATTGGTAGAGGGGGGCCCCCCCAACGATACACCTGGAATACTATCTTAAGATCCAGTTCAAGTGAGTTTCCATTTGATTTAGTACTGGTAGACTTGAGTTTCCATTTGATTTAGTATTGCTGGAGCTTCCTTTTGAGATTGGAACTGAAATTCCATTTGACTTAGGAGCCTTTTGAGATTTGGAACTGAGTTTGCATTTGTGGAAGTGAGTTCCCATTTGATTTAGTATTGGTAGACTTGAGTTTCCGTTTGATTTACTTTTGCTGGAGCTTTCTTTTGTTTTTCTTGTGGGGGGCCAGGCAACAAGACTTTATTTTGGGGGCCCCTGATATGATGTCAAGCTGGGGGCTGAAGTACTACCCCTTTTGTGGTTTTGACTGTGGGCAGGTTGTCAACAAGAGACATGTAAGAAAACATGGGTTTGGTAAAACTGACAATTTTGGATTTGAGGAGCAAGCCCAAATCTAAATTACTTGACTAGCTAAGAGGCAATTGCAATGGGCAGGTTGTATTTTTCAGGGGCCAGGCAACAAGACTTGAAGTACTACCCCCTTTGTGGGTTTGATTGTGGCAGGTTGTAAACAAAAGACATGTAAGAAAACATGGGTTTAGTAAAGATGACAATTTGGGATTTAAGGAACAAGGTACCAAAGATCCAAGGACCGGGCGTTGGCTTGGCTATCTCTCCTCTCCTTCTCTCTTGCTTTGGGGGGGGGGCTTTGTTTTTGGCGCGGGTGGCGGGTGCTTGCTTTTTAATCCAGGTGCATTTATTATTTTGGTTGGGCCCCGCATTTGTTTTGTTCCGCGTGCATTTTTTAATCCCATTTGGACATCATTGTAAGCAGTGTTTGGTTCCAATAGTAACAAGTGTAAACTGTACCACAGTCAGCATACGTGCTTGAGATGATGGCGCAGGAGATTGTTGCATGAGTGGATGCTGTGACACAAGCACAGAACAAACAAGAACCCCCCCCCCCCCGTTTGGGGGCGGAAGGAAACCAAAATGAGAACCACCAGCTTGTTGGGGTCCTATTTTGACACAGGATTGCTCCGAGTCGCTCCTACAATATGAAAGCGAGAATAGGTGGCTGGTTTGATTTGGTTTCCCGCTACCAGGGGCCGAATTTCGACTCTGGTGCCACTTTTGACCAACCCTGCGCAGGGAACCTTTCTCCCCCTTTCTTTTAATTAGAGAAGCAAGAAATCCGGTGACCACAACGTGGGCTTCAGTTTTCCTTCGGTTTTCATCTCAAGCCACTCCCGTCAAGACACACCGCTCCCCCTAGTGTTTTGTTTGTTTCCACGAGTATGATTCCTGGAAGAATGGGCATGGCTCGACCATGTGCCCCCATCACGCGCGGGAGTTTTGACTTGACACTTCAACAAAAAGCACATTCCTCTCTCGGCCAGGCTTCCCAATCCTATAGGTGCAATTGGTTTTTCTTCCCCTGTTGTTGGCTAGGTTCCCTCTTGGAATCCAAGCAACTTGGCCCCCGCTGGCCATCTCGGTCGAGTTGCAGGCTGAGCTTCTACCTGGAGGAGTCCCATGGGTCCAGGATCTTCCCCAGGAGAGATTGATTCGGGAGAAAGGGAAGGACTCCAATCAGCCGGGGGTCAGAGTACAAGCCATACAAAACGTGGTGCCAATCAAAGCTCAGTGTAAGGGAGCGGGGATGTGTTGGACAGATTTGGTTGCGAGTGGTTAGTCAAGGGTGTAAGGGATAAAGCATTGGCAGCCTGGGCGAAAGCAGTTAGCCTCAGCCCATGAAGCATGAAACGAGCTGCAGTTTCAACTGCGGCTTGAGTTTGAGCCTGTGTTCAGCAAGCTTCCAGTCATGCGCCATAGATTTCCACGCTTGCTGGTTGGTCACCATGCTCCTGATTGATCAGAGGTTTCCTTGAAGCACGGTCTTCGTGTGTGAAATGTGCCTCGCGAGGAACATCCTCTCTCAGTTGAGCTTGCTCTTCTACCGCCGGAACGACGCACTGCGCCTGCCCAACGGACAGGTGAACGAAGTCCGGGTGGCCGTCTGCATCCGCAAGGCTCCCTCGCGTTTGTTGGCGTTGATTTGCGGGGTCCAAGATTCATGGTCTGAAACAAGGCACGCGCTTGTTTTAAAGCAAGCTGTTCAAGTAGCTGTGACTCATTTCTTTTAAATGTTGAGACACGTCGTATCCTTTGACTCACCAGTGGATTGGTTCCAGTGCTCCGGCACTCGCTTTATGCTACCGATAGTGACTTGCAGTTGAAGCATGGCACCGTATCGGGGCAATGGCCAGGCGATCCCGCGGATGTTGCGGGCCATCGTGCTGGACGTGTTTCAGGGAGATCGGAACTTCACGCCTCACATGGAGAAGGCGGTTCGGGTCTACCTGGCCGTGCACCAAGTGGCCATCAAGCTGCTGGCCACCTTTAGGCACGGACTGACGGACAGATGCAAGAGTAGCGGAAAACAAATCGGGGGATCTCATGGGAAACTGCTTTCAGCATAGTACTCTGTTGCCGTAAAAAATAATGTGTGGCTCACTTCAGCCCTCTCTCTGGAGGCTCCGGGAGAATTCGCCGTGGTGTAAGTTCCGATTCAGCCGCCCAGAATACCCAGTGAGTTAGTGAGTTGGTTTGGTGCAGGAAGAGCTTCGAGCTTCTGTACCAGTCTGTTCTGGAGTGGATTCAGCAGCCTTTCAGCCCGAAGAGTGATGCAGACTCTCGGCCGGAACAGGCTTCGGCACACTTCCTCACACGTGCAAGCTGCAAGGGCCCCTGCAAAAACTGTTTTATTAATTCCATTGATTGACTGTTGATTTATATGTTTTGGAATGTCGGTTGCACTTCTCGATGTTGCGGATCCTGCTGGAGTTGCGATGCCAGCGCGATTATGGTTGCGTGTGCTGATGATGCTGCTGGTGGCAGTTGATGTGTGCGCCAGGGGCTGTCCAGATTTTCTCGGATTGTACTTGTTGCGTTGCCTAAACTTGGTTTCCCAGTTTACGGAGAGTTCAAGCGATTTGATGTCACCTTTCCAGAACAGAGTTGCGCATGTGTGAATGAACCGCCAAGAGGCAACCAGCCATGGAAAGTTGGGAAGGCTCTGATTTGGCAATGTGTCAGTGGTAGAGCCCTTCAGTTCGTGGTTGGTCTCCTTTGGGCTTTACCCTCAATCACACACATGGGAGACTTCCAACTTGGACGCATTCAACATGCAAGCCAGCAGTTTACAGGTCTCAGATGTCCACTTCCGACCAGGGATGCTACCTGAAAGCCAGCGGGCCCTCGCGCGCTGAGGACTGGCCGGACTTGGAGGAGTTGCTACTGGGCTCCTCCCTCTGCAGCGTGCCGTGGTCTTTGCTTCGGGAGGCCTTCGTCCGGCAACTCGGCCCGACTCGGGCGAGCCGGGCGTCGGGCGTTTGCGTCTTTTGGCCTCCACTCGCACCGGGGCGGGGCCCGGGCGCCTGGGGAAAAGATGGGATGTCTTTGCTTTGGACCCAAATGGCGGTTCTCCTTTTTTGGTTCCCATGTGAGGTTGAAAGAATTGGACCCTGGCCACCCGAATGGCCAGGAACAGCCAGACAAATGCCAATGCAAGTCCACAGGTGGTCCAATACAAGCCCAATATAAGTGTTTTGCTTCCTTGCCTCGGCTTGCATGCAACTTCCGCTATGTGATCTTTGCTCAGGAAGCTTTGCGTGCAGCTCGCTGAAACGACGACCATGAGCAACAAAGCTCCAATGTCTCAGCGTGCAGAAGCTGGGCAAAAGAGAGAGAGAGAGAGAGGGAGATGACATGCACACACTAATTAAGACATATGTTGTTATATGTTTGACCAGGGACGGCTATGTGTCGCTTCCCCCCCACCCTCCCAACCTTTTACCACTGTCTCACTTCGCCAAAGGGTTTAGCCGCGGTATTTCTCAAGATGACGACTCGTGAGTTGTTCTTGTGCTCATGCTTGCTGGTAGGTTTGCCATGCCTCCGCATGGCATGCCGAGCGTCTTTGATTGATGGTCGGCAATTTGAAAGGCTGTTGTGTTGAAGGCAGGTGCCTCAATCGATTGCCGACGTGGACCAACTTGTCAACAGCAGCCAAGCTATCACCAACTATGTATTCTGATCTGTTGTTTCAGTTTCAATTTTCCTTGGATCAGGAAACAGAACTAGTGCAGAAGTGATCATGGGGTTGAGATGGTAGGAAACGGGCCGGGCGGGATCCTCCAACCAAAATCTCGGGTTCCGCAAGGCATCATTTCTCAATTTACCTTTGCACAAAGACCAGGCCATAGGCCACGTTTAAGGAGCACCTCTTCAACCAGAACCGGGGCCTGCTGGAGCGGCTCTGCTACATCCTCAGCTTCTTCCGCGCCGGGCCCGGGAAGCTGCCCGTGCAGGAGATGGACAAGAAGCGGCTTGCCCCACGCGCTCGCTCGCTCGCTCGGGGGGGGGGGCCCTCGCTATGGGGGAAGTTGGGGAGCTGGGTGCCGCCGGATTGGAATGGGGGGAAGCGTTCAGAGCAGGAAGTGCGCTGGTTGCTTCGCGATAGGGGCCTGGAATTGTTGGCGTGAAGGATATGGTTGATTTGTGGAGATGGCTTTGGTTGCTTTGGGAAAATGGTAGCCCATTTGTCTTGGGCGATCATTGGCTTCGATGCTATGATTAAGCCTCCTAACAACAGAACTATTCCCCAAGGCTGATTTTTGGCAACCAATCTCGATGCTTTCAGGCTCTTGCCAAACTACTTCCAGCGTGGCTTTAGTTACCACTATGCTGGGTAAGCAAATCAACCACACACAAGGCGTGGTAAACTTCTGAGCTCTCGCATCTAAGCGAGTCTCATCAGGCTTACGCGACAGCTTTTGGCAATCCCAGGTACAGCCGTTGTGCTGGAACTCTGCCCAAGGCCGAGCGTGATGCTCTTGTTGAGGCTGCCAAGGACGGGGTTGGCCAGCGCCCCAAAAGTTACGGGCGGATGATCCGGCACGTCTGACAGATGTGATTGGCGACCCCGGATGTTGTGGCCCCAAAAGCTTAGCCTCGTTGGCTCTGCGTCTCACTCAACCAGTGAGGCTGAGCAGCACACCTGCAACTCATAGGGGTCATAGGAGCACGTGTGCTCGAATATCAATGTGGATTGTCCGACCCTTTCATGAAACGTCACAGGTGGATGCCTTTTCAATGCAAACATATTTCAGGCAGTTTGATACCAAACCCGGAACGCATTTGATTACAATACCATACATCCAATGTTACTTTTAAACAAGAGAATAGGGTATTGTTAAATATTTGCGAGGGGTTTACTGGTGTTAGCTCGCATTTAGGATGGCCCCTCCCCATTCGTTGAGGAGGGCGCGGGTATCTCCTCGCTGCCGGACTTGTGGGCGGCCCTGGGCATGCAGCGCGCCAACGAGGACACTGCGGCAGTGCTGCGGAGCATCGAGCGGTTTTTGGAGTACGTCCAGGCGCCGGCTTGTTTTGCGCTCTCGTAACCATGGTTGTCGAAAATATGGGTAAGGGTGTCTCCAGTCTCTTTGAGAGTATTAGAGAATAGTCATAGGAATGGCCCACTGGGGTGTATAGAGAGGGGTATGTTCCGCAACCGTGCCTCGGGGACAGCCCAGTTCAGTGGATTCCACTCGTTTTACAACTTTCGGTTTGGTGGGTTTCGTTTGCACTGAACATGGGCTCGGACTTTGGCTGTTTTTGGGTTTGCTAAACCGGGGTTGTTTCCCTTCAAACTGCCATTTGGGGGTGCCTTTGGTGACGGTGGGCCAGTTTGAGACATCATCAAATTAGATTCGATTCGGGTTAGAATATTCCTCAGTCTGTCACTAAGTTCCCACGAAAAACAGGAGAATCACCAGTTTGTCTATGTCCTTGAGGTGCCGTTACTTCTTGGTTTAAGCAACAAATGAAACCCTACACACTGAACACGGATGTGTCTGCACAAACAGCGGATGCGGGATCCTTGCTTTGGGTGGGTTCCCTATGACACAAAGCCATGCAGGAGTTCTCCTAAAGGGCTGCCCTGACCGAGGAAGGGAAGTTATTTTTACCTGCGCTCTTTCGGGATACTCCTTGCGCTAGTTGTTGAGAGGAAGTATCCCCTATTAGTTCTTCCGGTTGAGAACTCCGGCGTCAACAAGGGTCTCCCTGGCAAGAAAGCCTTAACAAGTATGCCTGAATGTGTCTTTGTGAGCTTCAGTCAGGCCATAGTTGGGCCATACTTCCGTGGATTATGTCTCAACTTGTGTATGCAGGTAAGCTTCCAAGATGTCAGCATAGCCTTGAGCCGAGATTTCATATTTTCCCACCCGACAGGTTCAAGTTATATGTACATACATACATACATACATACATACATACATACATACATACATACATACATACATACATACATACATACATACATACATACATACATACATACATACATACATACATACACACATACATACATACATACATACATACATACATACATACATACATACATACATACATACATACATACATACATACATACATACATACATACATACATACATACACACATACATGCTTGTATACTTGTATACTTGTATACTTGTACATACATACATACATACATACATACATACATACATACGTACATACATACATACATACATACATACATACATACATACATACATATGTAATGTAAGCAAAGGTATCAACATCTGCCATTTGACAGAGTCTGCATCATCTCACAGCATCGGGACAATGCTGGGATAATTATTGTTGTTTGTAAAGAAAACCTTGGATTCAAGATTCAAGAATCTGAAAAAAACACTCGTGTTGGGCATCTGTAATCTTGAATCCCTGAATTTTGAAAGATTTCTTAAACTTCCAGGGTTGTCCCCATACTCTAGGTGTTCAACACATACTTCTGCAACCAAGTATGCGAGTCATATGCATTCAATCTGCAACCCTCTAAGTTCCTGCAATTTCTGGGTTCAAAGTGAGAGGAAAATCTGTGAAAGATTTCAATCTTGACTACTCAATCTAGTGGTAAAAGACTTTCAATTGCTTCGCGATCCAGTGGAAACACAATCAAGTTCTTAGTTAGACAATTTTTCAAGTGCTTTTGGTGAGCGGGTTGCTTCATGTAAGCTATGCTCATGTTGACCCTAACCAGGAGATAAAGGTAGGTGCAATGCTGAAAACACTGTTTTTTTCAGCATTTTATGAGAGGCGAAGGATCATGAGGGGTTCTATAAGTTTGTATGTGTGTGTATATACTTTTCATGTTCACACACAATCACTAAACTACCTGTCCACCTCTGCTCATCTACTACCTCCGCCTTTTAAGATTTAATGAATTATGGTTTCCCGTCCAACTAAGACTTCAAATACAATTGATTTAGCTAGGATCCCTGCTTTGAGATGGTTTCAGAATTTGAACCGCTTTTCCCTTGAAATTTCCATTTTGGAGCACCGTCTAACAAGTTCAATTTCGGACCTTTCTTATGCTACTAAATGGCCAGAATGTAAATGACACAAATCGAATTTCGAATCTCCTTGTAGAAGTCCCTTAAATGTTTCGCCATATTTACTATGAATTTTATTTGAGAAGTAGCTTCTATTTAATTGTTATTATTAAAAGCGAATTGAACCTAATTGAATTATGTTCGTTCTAGAATATACTTAAACTTAGATGATATTTGGGAGTAAACTGCTATCTAATCTCTTTGTTGAAGATTAGTTGGAGTTTACCCCAACATGATACTTACAGTTTCATGTATCTCCTGTTTGGAAAGGATTTGTGTGTTTAAGTTATAATTGAACATACACCACATTTTAGAAAACTATATCCTTACTAAATTATACTCAAAAGTCCAATTCTAGTTAAAATAAAATCCTATTTGGAAAGGGTATCATTTTGGGACGGTTCGGAGGACTCCGGGCTCAAACCTATGAGGCTTTGGGGACCCCAAATCTGGAAATTTCGCGGATGTACATCTCTAGATTTTAGATGTATCATCTCCAAAAGGCAGTACCACCGAGGTCCATTCCCAACGGCCGGAGTTTGTTGTAGGCCAACGTGGCCGCCTGGCGCGCCGCGCCAGCGCCTGCGGGCGCCTCGGAGGGCCCGGCGCTGCCGGCACTGGCGTTGGAGCAGCTGTCGGCCATTGCGGCCGTCCCCGCGCGCGTCACCGGTGGGGGCGCGGCCACGCACCTCGCGGCAGAAGGGGGGGGGAGAAGCCTTGAAACTGGGGAGACCACAAATTAGATGGCAAAGGGCGCGCAGACAGGAGACTTTGGCAGGACCAAGCTCGAAGAAAAACTAGTTCCCAGCGTAAGTCCAACGTGGGAATGAAGGGCTACCATGACATGGGAAGGAAGAGCTACCCACAGGCAAGCCGATAGATAGGCTCCATCCCCCAGCGAAATAAAAAGACAGATCCACTTTGACCCTGGATGAGGGGCTGCAAAGGGAAGCACATGCAACAATATGTTTGACCAAAATAAACGTCAAAGTTTGGATGCTACAAGGGAACACACCATGTCTAGGGCCATTGCAAGTGGTTCCAAATAGTGTTCCACTATGCCTTCAACATTGTACAAGCGCCAGTGCCGCTCTGGGCTCCTTGCTGGTTTTTGCGTTTCTATAGGATCAATTCGGACTAGGGGCGGCTTCCAATCATTTGTCAGTGGTATTGTGCCTTTGCCTTCAGGGAGGCGACCCCCAAGAGGGAAGCCCACTTCTTGCAGCCGCTTTTTGAAGTCAGCACAAATCAAGGTCTAAAAGCTTTTGGCACATTCCGGCCATTTCGTTCGCTTCCCAGCTCAAGGAAGCGGGAGCGTGATCAGCAGCGAGCGCAGCAGCTAGCGCAGGAGAAGGCCCAGCACAAGGGCTTCCCCAAGTTGCCGCCCTCCAGGCGCGGTGTCAATTCTCTTTCGCCCTTTTGGATTGGGTCATTGAATGAGTACCTCACGGCAGGGTGGAGGTCGCAGTGCGTTGATGCACCAAGGAGGCTGGACGGCACTCTCTGCTACTACTGCCTGAAGCGCTTCCCCAGCAGGAGAGCAAGGGTGTGACGAATCGAAGTGGGGTGTTTGTGTCCGCATGGTTCCGTTGCAGCGAAGCAACCAAGCTTGCAGGAAGTCATTTAAGTCCCCCCTGGCCTTCCCATCTTTAGATAATCCTTCCCCTCAAAATCGAAGACCTTGGTCGGATCATGCCCTTGGTCGGATCACGTGGTTTTCCAACCACTGGGGATGCTCACTGACATATTTGGTTGCTGCCCCTCGCCCAAGAAGCTGATGGCGCGTCTTCAGGATGGCGCTCTTCACGCACCTGCGGCGGCTCATCGACAAGGACACGACCTCGGGGATGTTGGGGGATACCTTCGAGCCGTTACCAGCTGGTCTAGAGGATCCCCTGGGAACAGGCAGGTTTTGACGTATCCGTAAGAACCTTCTTCACGTGCCAAGCGCCAAGAACACCTTGAGAATGACCCAACTTGTGTGTACTCACTGGTGAAATGAGAGCTGACGGAGAGGCTTTTATGGTAGCCATGCGAATCATTGCTTGCCATCGCGCCAACCCTTTTTCCAAGCACTGATTGGTCGCTCCTTCCTTGCAAAGATCCACTCAGGGAGGCAGCCTGGACCGCAGACCAGCTGCCCTTCACCAGCCCTTGCGCCGTTCCGTGCGAACTGCATGGAGTTTCAGCCACAAGACACCATAGCCAACTAGCCCCTGATATGTTGCCCGACCTCGTGCTTGCACTGGAAAACCTATCCGGCTGCCGCATGTGTTGCAATTTGACCAGAGTGTTTGCCAGCCTTTGGACAGTAAACGCGCAGAACAGCGAAAGCGGGCGAGTGAGTGAGGAAGTGAGGGAGTTTCGGATCTTTGTATACTGGCTTGCGGGTAACAAGCCTCATGCACATGGCACCAAACAGCACGCGCAGCCCAAGTTTGGCCAATGACCTCAATGAATGAAGCTGCCACCCACGAATAAGGAACAAGTATACCCAAATCAAACCAACAACCAAAACAAACATCGTGACTGCGCCAAGCTTGCGTCTAAAACGGGCATGGACCCCGGAAGACCCGCGTTAGCCTCTTGCACATGGCGCCAAACAGCACGTGCAGCCTAAGATCTGCCGAAGACCTCAATGAAGGAACGTGTATGAATAAAACACAAGCCCTCAGTCAAGCCAACGACAAACACAAACATCACAGCGTACGTCGCCTCGATAAACTTGCGTCAAACACAGGCATGGGAAGTCCTAGGATGGTCCAGAATATACCCATCAAACTGCGGCTCCAACAGGGAGGTGGACAAAAAGGGCCAACATCATGCTCCATTTCAAAAAAAAAAAAATCGACAAAAAGCGGCGGCAAAGGGCATGATCATCGGTGAAACCGGGGGGTTTGTTTGCCCTAGGACCGCTTCGTGGAGGGCCACCATGAGGCACACTACATGGTGAGCGTGGCCGGTCCCGAGGCCATCGAGGGGAGGGGGTGGTGAGGTTTGGCGATGTGCCAGGCGTTGAGCAAGAATCCCCGTTTCGACATGAAAACCCCTCGCCACGTTTGGGACATTGTGGGAACTGCATCCTTTTCTCTGAAACCTGGCATGGACAGAAGCCCTGGGGTCTGGGTGGTTGAAGATGTTGAAGTTGCGGCCGCTCTCTTCATCCATTATGTGAGACAGCTCGTGTGGCCTCGCGGTTTCGCGGCACGAGAGGCGCTGCCCTTGGGCGGCAAGTGCAAAGCCAAGACCTGCGGCAAGCACTTCGACTCCAAGATGGCTCCTCGGCCAAGTGTGCCATGGAAAACGCTCAAACGCTGGGGCGGTTGAGGATGCAGCGCGTGGCAGACTGGGGCAGCATAAGTTCAGTGAAGCGGGGGGGACTCCCTTCTTTCTTCTTGTATTGCTCTTTTTCCATCTCGCTTTTTTTTTTTTTCTCTCTCTCTCTCTCTCTTTCTATCCCTTTCTCTCTCTCTCTCCCCCTATTCTGGGCGAGCTGCGAGTGAACAGCAGGAAAGAACGCAGCCTTTGCTGAATATGCTTGTATGATGCAGTTCTTCCAAAGTCAGGCGCCTTGCCCAATGCCCTCGGGAGGAGCTGTGGCAGCACTACCACGAGATGGGCGTGCCAAACTTTGCGGACGCACCGACCAACCCGGCGGATCAGGCCGGATACGTGAAGGAGAGCCACCTGCAGGAGGACACCGGGCCGGACGAGGCTCCATTGGACATGTCCCAGCACCTTGGAAAGCCACGAGCCAGGCTTGGTGCAACGGCTAGTTCTTCAATGGCATGGTTATTCTCCAGAGGTTTTGCAGTGGTCTTCCGACCAGGAAGGACAGCCAAACAGGGTCATAGCCATTGGGCAACTAACCATTTATGTACCTCATCAGTTTGATGCCGAGGAAGTGGAGGGGAAACCATGCCATACGGAACAGTTAGATTTGATCCCCTCCTGTCCCCTCAACACTACCATGTTTCTACCATGTTGCCTCCTCGCACAGGGTACTGGGCCTGGCGCATGTGAATGCACATCCAGAAAAAGAGAAAGCAACCGTCGATCATACTTGGAGCATATTGACAAATATGACTTTCACATTGGTCAACAAAGTTTAAGGCAAAATTTTTGTGACTTCAATTTGAGATGTGGTAGGAGAGGCCGCTCTTGACAAGGGAAGCTCCTTCCACTTCCAGTGAAGTAAGTAGTCATGGTGGCACAGGTCCGGCAGCACAAAGGTAAATGAGCCCATGGTAAAAACAAATAGACCTGTTACGGGTATATGTTCTACCACGGACTCTTTAAACATCATTCCGGTGTTGGCTACAAGCGATTCGCCGGTTCTTTATCTTGGGACTCTTCGTGCCCAAAAGAACGCCAGGAGATATGGAGATGTCTCAACATAGGCCTCCATTCTGGATGGTCTTTGAACAGCAGCCAAAAGAAAGCGATATATCATGGCCAGGCGACCAAATCCTAGTTTAGCCACAACCTTAAATGGGTTTGTTCTTCTTTCTTGAGCGTACCCTTTCCAGGCGATGTTTGTTTCTTTTTCCCGGGAAGCCAAGACGAAAATTCAAGCCACCTTGCTTTTCATCCGTTTTGTTGGCCTTGCTCAATGAGGTGTGCAGTTTGCCTGGACAAGCCGGCCAATGTCGTCATGGTGCCCTGCGGCCACATCTTCGCGTGTCAAGGCTGTGGCCAGAAGCTCAAGGAGTGCGCCATCTGTCGATCCAAGGTCTCCCAGGTGGGCACCAAACACGGGGAGTGGCTTTGAGAACTGGCTGGGCACACGAAGTCTTTGTTGCAAACAAGACTCTTGGGCAAGACTATGCCAAAAGCAGGACGCAAGCTGAACTTTCATTTGTTAGGGTGCTTGTTCTTAGTTGGGTAAGTGTGGGCATGGTTCAAGAAAAGAAGGATCTGGGGTCAAGATGGTTGAGTGGGAAGTTGTTGCACCCTTGTTTTGTTTTTTGAGACTTAGTTGAATGTTAGCCCTGTTGATGTGGGGGAGGGCATGATTTTGACACCCAGCAGGTCTTAAAGGTCTACTACAGTGCGGAGCGCGATTAGATCGCATCGCACGCGCAGCCTCATGCGGCGCGCTCCTCTCGATTTCCGACGTTTGAAAGAGTAAATCAAACGGCTGGTGTACGAGTGCCTTGAGGGCCTTAGCGTCTGGAGTGATTGTACAGTGCACATCCACCAGGAGCCAAAGGCTTGTACAGTTGACTGCGTCTTATTCAGAAAAAGTTGATGCTTGGAGTCCCCTGGAGAGCTTTGCCGGTGCACACAAGATTGCATGTTACTTGGATGCTAGTTGGTTCCAGACCTACCTGCGGCGATGCTATGATGTTCGTGGACCTGTGCACTCCTATGGAACAGGCATGGATAAGTCTTCCATGAAGCCGTGGAAAAATCCGTGAAACTCGCGAGTTCTTTGCAGAACACATTCGCACGGCAGGCGTCTTCTGGGTTACGGCGGCCTTTTCTATCGTCGCGTATCTGTGGCTCGTGCTCATTGTGCAGGCCGGGCGGGTGAAATTCTGAAAGGAGCACACGAGCTGGTTGCCATCCACACCTTTGTCTCTCCTGAAGATGTTCTTGTTTCGGACGTAGGAAACGGCACAGTTCTTTTTAGATCATGGTAAACATGGGTGCCCCTGATTTTTATCAATATCACGATTTCGTGGCTGAGATGGCCCCCACTTTTGAGCTGACGCCATGGTGCTAGTGGCCAGGTCACGACGCCAAATGTCATCGAGCTCTGGGAGGCATGTCGGGTGTTTGTTTTGGAGAAAGCTCTTTGTCCACTTTACTGTAGTTCTTTTGGGTGAAGATACAAGAGCTGTGACTGTTTTCCTTGCTCTTTGCCTTTCTGTCTGGAAGCAAGGAAGCACCTGCTTGCATCGTTTAATTGAGCGAGTTGTGGAGAGGCGCTTTCTGAATGAAGTGACACATCTTCCTCACCTTTGGACAAGTGTTCAAGTGCGAGCTGGAGGCATTGGGGACCTTGTCCTTGATGCCGGTGCTGATTGTGGCCTGGCGCCCAGTTGACCTTCTTTCGGGGTTACGGGGTGGATGTCGACGGTGCTTGTTGAGATTGGTGTTTGAGTAGGTGTATTCTCCACTGGCTTTGGGACCTCAAAGAACGTCATCGTTTCCTGCTTCACACTCGCTGCGAGTTGTACAAGAGTGTTTGCGTCAGAATTATCACTACTGACGCAGTACTACTGACGCAGTGTGCCTAGTGCCGTGCTGGTGCGTTGTAGAGTATGGAAGTAGCATCAATGATTCAGGAACCCCTTTCGCAAGCACTCGACCGAGGTGTCCTACCTCACCGACATTGGCTGGTTTTCTGGGGTGAGGCGCTGCTTAGCATGCTCGCTTTTGAAGTGCAAGAGGGAGTAAAGCTGGGGTTCTTGATAAGGTCAATGTGGGGTCTGCTTTAATATGACCCCCCCCCCATTTCGACCGTGCCAACAGTCATTTGGGCGCATCTAGGGCGTCTTTAGTGGGACGGAAGGGGGGGGTTGGGTTGGACTTCGACTTACCAATACTTAATTGGAATTGCCAATTGTAAACTTAGTAAACCACCCCGTAAAGTCGAGGCTAAGGTTTTGGGCTTGGAATTTCAAAACCCACCCAGAAAGCGAGCCACAAAACAGTCACACAAGGCGAATCAGGGGCTCTTGTGGGGTATCCCCTTCTGTGTGACTGTTTGGCCTTGCAACTTGATTGTAAAGGGTCTATCTAAAAATCGATGGTTTGGGAACCAGTGCAATGCCAAGAATTCCTAGATCTAATTCCTTTAGCGGGAAGGGCTTAGACAAACCACCCTTTGAAACCACATCTTTGATGTATTTTTGTTGTTGTTTTCCCGTCCCCCCTACCCCGCAAGCAACTTTTCATAAACGCCTCCAACATATAGAAGCGGATCTGACATTAAGACGCAGGTTGAGTGACCCAAAGATAGGCCCCTGTTCAATATGTCCATAGCGCCCAGCATACTAACGGCCCTTTCCAACACCATTTCCAACACCCTTTCCAACACCCTTTCCAACACCGTTCCACCACCTTTTCCATTTGGTACCTCCCGAAATTTCTCGGTTGCAGACTAGTGGCTCCCTTTTGGTGGGGTGACGTGCAAAGGATTGGTGATGATTAGAGGATGGGGGCGATGTTTAAAGGATTAGAGGGATGTTTTTTAGGGTATAGAGGTGATGATTGAAGGATTCTAGTGGAAAATCTATATGGTCCATCCTTTTGTGAGGAAGCAGCCTCTGGTAGAGAAGCCCGTGTCGCTGTCCTCGGACGGCAAGGCGTGAAGATCTCGAGAGATTCGGATTCGGGCGTCCTGTGGGGTTCCAAACGACGGGTGTGGTCTTTAGGGGTCTCCTACCTGCAAGTTGGAGAGCCCACCTCAATTTGGGGATGGTTAATTCAAAAGGCTCTACATATAATGTATGTATATATATATATATATATACTGCAAAGGAGGGAACCAAAGTGGTAGGTGGACATGAACCCCGACCTAAATGATGTTCGCCATGTCCACCAAAGGGTCTGATCAAAACTCACACAATCAATATGTGTTTGGGCAACCCAATCTCCTCGGAGACGGGGCGACCAGGTTCCGCTGGCCACCACGGGTCCCTCCGGCGCTTACCGGCAAGTCTGGCCGGGACTCTCAGGATGCCGTGTGGCACCTTGAGGTGCTCTTCTTGTTACATTTCACATCATTCCAAGCTCGTTTTAGCACACCTTTTGAGCATACTCCCAAGCCTCCAAATTCCTTTGGGGCGTCCGGGGGATGCTCAAAAGGTACGCTCAAATGTTCTTGGATGCATTGAATGTCCCTTCCAAGTTGGAGAGCATTTGCCCTCAATTCCACGTTGGTCCGGACAGTCCTATTAGGAATCTTTGGCTCGTTTGGGACGGGATGGGAGTACCTCATGTTGGCGGCATGCGTCCAAATGTCCACAATGTCGAGATTGGGTAGTTTGTCGCAGCTTCGAGTCACAGCTACCTATTCATGACTGTGTTGGAGGAGCGTGTGCCAAATTTCGTTGCTTGGACACCTGTTAGAGCATGTTAGCTTTATTTTAAGGGGCACACCATGCCTTTTTGGTTTTGGTTTTTGGGACATCGCTTGGCTGTTTGCCAACATTGATATGATGTATTCGAACACTGGCGTGTAGCATACTGTCAGATAATGAATGTTCACGATATTGTGTTGACATCCCAAGATTCCAAGGAATGGACCCGATCTGTTGATCGTCAACAACGCTTTACCGTGTTGCAGACAGAATGGAACACCATATCCAAAACGGGCCCGCCAGAAGTGATTCTTCTAACAGGATTTTGCCTTGGGGGGGTCTATTATCTTCAGGAGAGTAGTGGATTGAGGCCATGTGTGTTGCCCTTGTCAAGACACACCCAAAGGGGGCCAGGACAGTTGCAGCGTTGGCTGCCTGGTGGTTGGTTCGAGAAACACATTTGGCAGGGCCTTTCAAGAACAGACCTGTGGCAAAGAACGAGTTTCTTGATATGTGACTCCGTCCTTTGCCTTGAACTGCTTCTTTGAATGGTTTGAGTGTTGTCTCAGACTTGCGGTGCTCACGGCTGAGGCGACACGACCTGAAGCGGTCCCGGGATTACCCGGAGCTGCCAGAGGGGCAAAGGTCTCGGAATGGTCGAACTTGTTGCTTTGATCCATTGGGCGTGAGTTTCTCCCTCAAGGAAGGCGGAGTTTCGCGGGTGGTTGCCGCAAATTATTCTGCAGTCTGGGCATGCGGTCACGAAGGAAGCGTCAAGCAACAAGCAATTGGTCGTTAGCCACGCCGATGGTCCGATGGACTTAGTGACGCTTTTTCTGCTGGGCTTTCGCCAGATGGGTTGAAAAGTTGCCATAGTGCCATTTGCATTGATTTGCGGCCAATTGGACATTTCTTGATGTGTATCTACATAATATTATGCACAAAATACACATCGGTGGGAGCATCCTGGCTGAGCTAAGAAAGTTCTCGGCTGGGAGAAGATTGCTTCATGTCTTCGGCTGGAGGGATCCAATGGTGCGCCTAGTTCGCCATAGCAATGTGATGCCTGGCGAATGAACTGCGGTAGTTCTGCGGGGGGCACCTCAGCAAAGCCATTTCGGGGGGACGCATCAATCAACCAGCTTGCGAATCAGGAGTTGCCATGTCCACTGTGGGAATCCGAGCCCCGCGTTTTTTGTTTTTTGGCCGGCATACGCATCAAAAAGAAATTAATTTAGGATCAATAACAAATTAATTCGGGACCAAAAACAAATTATTCCAGACCATGTGAAGGAGAAGGCAGTTCGCAAGTTAGTATCCGGTGCACCCTGGAGCAAAGGGCGGTTAGTAAGTCAGCATACGGCGGTAAGTAAGTTAGTAAGTTTGCAGGTGAGCAAGTAGCAAGTTAGCCAGTCAGCAAGTTAGTAAGTTACTAAGTTAGCAAGTTAGCAAGTTAGTAGGTGCGCCAGGTATAGCAAGTTAGTAAGTCAGCAAGTTAGCCAGTTAGCAAGTTAGTAGTTGCGCCAGATAGTGAGTACACAAGGTAGACTCGGGGGGAGACTAAGTTAGTGTGGAGTGCTATTTCTACTACTACTACTAGTACTACTACTACTACTACTACTACTACTACTACTACTACTACTACTATTACTACTACTACTACTACTACCACTACTACTACTACTACTACTACTACTATTACTACTACTACTACTACTACTACTACTACTACTACTACTACTACTACTACTACTACTACTACTACTACTATTACAACAACTACTGCTACGAGTACTTCTACTACTACTGCTACTAGTAGTTGTTGAAGTAGCGCTCGCGGTACTTGTAGCACTAGTCGAGCACTTTCTCTGGTTCTAGCACTACTACCACTACTACTACTACTACTACTCCCACTACTAGTAGTACTACTACAACTACTTCTGCGACTCGTCCCAGTACAACTGCTACTACGACTACTACTACTACTGCTGCTACTACCACTACGACTGCTGCTACTACTACTACTACTGCTAC